AACATTAGCATTGAAAGGCGCATTAGCAGTTTAAAAGAAACATTACAAGGTCAGCATCAAACTTCATTCCTTTACTCACAAAGAGCTGCCTCTGGAAGTGGAAAGCAACACCAGTGTTAAGACTTGTTTCTGTCACTTCTTTTCTTCTGAAGTTAGCATACCAACCAGCTAGCCTGTTCCAGATCACCACATCACTTTCCCATAGCGACTCACAGTAGCCTCTCATCTGTCCTGAAGATGTAGCGCTGCTCAGAGGGCGTATTATATATTTATATACCGTATATGTTGTAAACGCAAGAACTCCTTGCAAGACACCACGTTCAGCATCAGAGAAAACTTATAAAATAACCCCTTTAATTTTCAGTATGTATTATTAGAGTATTAGAGTTGTGCTAAACTCACATCTGTCATTCCTTGCCAGGAATTATGGAGTAATGTGTTTTTATAGCAGCTTCAGAAAGGTTAATGCAGTTCTTAATATAGATAAACAAAATGTGATGTGTGTTCATGTGAATATAATCCAATTCATCTTATTTATGTATTATTTATGTATGTATTCAGTTTAACTTTGTGTTAACACCTTATTTAGAAAAGCGGACGTCGTCACGTGTATCTTCGCCCTAAATTTTACCAAGTCTGAGGCAGTTTGATAAATTGTATTATGTGTGGTGTGTTCAGGTACAATCACAATTTCATAGTGTCATTTCAGGTTAGGACTTTTATACTGAACATTATCTTTGGAACATTATCTTTGGAAGGGGAGAAAAATGACAGCTTATAGTCACTAACGCTGCATGTCAGCTCACTCTGGTATTTATCAGAAACACTGTTGTGTCTTGCTCCACTCCCGCTCTCTTCTCTCTTCTCTCATCGTGTTTCTTCTGTTTGTTTTTTTGTTCTCTCATCTCTCTCCGTTCACCTCCAGGGGAGTTTGAAGAGGTCAGGCCCCAGCAGCCAGACTTCCAGGTCTGAAGCCTTTCTGCTCCAGGCCCTGGTTTGTTTTCAGGCTGCCTGCAGGTCAGCAACACTGTCCAGTCACATGCTCAAGCAATTAAATGGGATCACTGAGATGAACTGACTCAGTAATTTACAAAGTGTTCAGTCTTTCCAGTGTTTGATGATCAATACTTTACTTACTGTAAAAGTTCTATTTTATGTCTTAAAGTTTGGTTGTTTTCTTAATATCGGTTAAAAAGAAGTAATTTGTTTTAAAAGCGCTTTATTCAAGTATTGTATTGAATCATGTGTTAAATTGTGAATGTCAGTGGAGTCGGGCCGGACTGTGAGTGAAACGATTTAGTCAAATCCTTGGTATGTGTGTGTGTGCCTGTATTTCTTGTGTGTCTGTCTCTTGAATTTATGCCTGTGTGTGTGCGTGTGTGCGTGTGCATGTCCAAGGTTGGCCGAGGAGTGTGCATCAGAGCCCGTTCTGAAGGAGAACACGTTCACGGCTCCGTCTAAACACGGCCACGCTCAGGACTCGCTGGAGACCCTGTGTCACTGTCTGCTTCACTGCTGCGACTCCATCTGGATACCCACCGTCATTGTGAGAGCTGGACACACACACACACAAACGCGCACATCCACTTCGCCATCGTCTCATCTTTAACCTTCTAGCTCTCTGTCGCACGCACTCGTAGCCAAACACTTGAGAAAATTATCTCGCAATTCCCCACTTCTCCTTTCTGAGAAATAGGTCACAATGATTACCGTGCTCTGTCTGGCAGTTCCTCTAAATGGCTCTATTAATAAGGACAGCCACACAGTGTCTGTCTTCATTAACTTTGTGTACACATGGATCAATCAGTCTCTCTGCTGTAGTGAAAATAATTGTTTTTGTGTGTGATATTTTTCTAAAGTTGGTTCTGTTCAGGCTTAAAATCAATAGGAGAAGAAAAAATTGTTTACAGTTTATATTTTGGTCATTTGTCTCTGATTTGCTGTTTGTGTGTGTGTGTGTGTGTGTGTGTGTGTGCGTGTGTGTGTGTGTGTGTAGAGGATGTGTGAGCATGCACCCAGCTCTCAGATACTGCAGCACTTCTACTCCATCTTATCCTCCCAGTTCACCCTCCTCCCGTCTCTCATGCCTGCCTTCGCAAATAAGCTGGGTGAGTTGAGTAACACTGTAAGTGTCCCCATGATTTGATTTGATCTCAGTGTCACACACACTGTCGTCTTATTTTACACCAGTAATCAGGCGGTGTCTGTCCCCGCCATTTGCACGGGCACGCGTCGCCTGGCTGGGAGTGACGATCTCGATCTCGCCGTCTAATTAAAAATCCACCTAAACTGTTCAGCTATTGAGTAGTGATCATTTCTCTGTATTTGGAGGACCGCTAAACAAGACGGGCTGACGGTCCCTGGTGTGTGAGAATAATAAGCATAAAGTCACTATGAGCAGCTACAATAGAACTAACAATATTGCATGATAATGAAACATTGGCTAAAGTCATGAAATATCACATTAATCACAGAGAAATCTCTCTTAAGGAATATTTTAGAAAGCATTATATTTTTAGAAATTCTGTACCAGATTATAAAGTACGTTAAATCGCACTGTAGAATCACTAATTCCTCTTGCTGTGTACTGGATTTTTTGTGCTTGCTCTTAGCCATGCTAGCAGCACGGCTCCACGGGTGGCAGTGTTGGTCTGTCAGGCAGCTGCTTCCTCCACTTTAGTCCAGACTGAAATATCTCAGCAAGCATTGGAAGGATTGCAATAACATTCATGATCCTCTCAGCCTTAATTGTTATAACTTTGGTGTGGTCTCCTGACGTTTCCTCCAGCCCTTGTTAAGCATCGGGCGTGTTAGTATAGTTATCGTCAGCGTGGTAGCACAGCTTCACATAACCACGAGCGAAGTCCGGGTTTATACAGTCCTTCTGTATCTCCTGCTGTCTTCATGAAACCTGCCAGATTAAGACACTAACACACTTAAACCTGGCGCCCAGAAGTGGAACTGAGTAAATGAGCCACTTAATGAAATGAGATATCAAGCATTCATAGTGGTCACATTTCCTTAATTCAAAATGATGGACCAAGATGTTTCTCTTCATATTTCTGTCAGCAGCTGAGCCACGCCGCATCGAAAATTTTAACATAAAGTTCTCTTAAACCGTGATGAGATTCATGATATGAGCAACTGAGATGGCTGGCACAGGGACAGTCCACACAGCTCATGTTTTTAAATTAGCCCCTCTCTTTCAGTCCTGTTACTGCAGGCTTTGCACATACTGGAGCTGGTCAGAGAACCCGCACGGGAATACAAAACGTAGCCGTACGAACCAAACATAAACAAGACTGCTGTTTTTAAATGCAAAGTTGTCAGTTAAGCACATTGCTTACAATACATTTTAACGTCTTAAATGTGTAACTAAACTAAATAAGCAATAACAGAAGCAATTTCACTGTGATGCCCAATTCCCAGCTAATCTTACGACGAGAAATAAACTTCATTTCATTCCATTATCACATAAAAGATTGTGCTCTGCTCTGAACCACTGAACCTTTCTATCTCTATGGCTAGGTAATGTTTATGAAATTAAAATCCATATTTTGTGCGGTTTAAAATTATGCCAAAAACAGCACTGCCAACAACTTGATTCTGCTCTCATCAAAGATGGAGCTAAATGCCTGAATGTTGACTTGATGAAATTTCATATTACTGCAGGGGAAAAACTAAGCAATCTGTCCAAAGCTGGCAGTCCACAGGATGAGCCTCAATTATTGACAGAAATCTCGTTGCCTCAGGCATCGAGACGAGCCAATGTAGTGGCATTAAAAAGAAACATAAGTTTTATATTTATGCTGCGAGCGATTAACAAAGCAGAGCAGTTTTCAGCAGATATGGCTGAGCAGTGCCTTGGCACAGGTCCAGAAGAAAGTGAGTTAGTAGCTTTATGAAATTAAGAGAGAGCACCCCCTCTCTAATAAGTGAGGGGTGCTCTCTCTCTCTTTTTCTCTCTCTCACTGCAGCAATGAAACAGCCAAGACATTAAAAACAGCTTTACGATATCGTTTTTTTTTTTTTTTCCCTTCCTCTAGAATTAAAACAGGCCTGCTGTCCCATTACCCCCAACGTAGCCACATGATGAGCTTCTCCCTCTGATCCTGAGGACTATTTTTAGACCATCACATACGGAGGGAATGTGGCTGATTTCTGACATAATGGCGTCGTAATGTCTGACCCTGTTTGATATTTATGAACACATTTATACACACACATGATTTTGATCTTGATCTTGATGTTAGGTCTTTCTCTCTCTCTCTCTCTCTCTCTCTCTCTCTCTCTCTCTCTCTCTCGCCCTCCTCCAGCCTTTTCTCCTCCTTTCTCTTTTAAACCAGTGAATTGTGCTTTAGGCTGAAAGGTTGTGCGCCTCTTCTTAGTACTCAGCTGTTTAGTTGCAGAATTTGACTTACAATATGTGTGTACTTTATCCTGTTTTTCTTTCCTCTCTGCCTGTGATGTACTTTAAAACATTTATTTTGAAAAGTGTTACATAAATAGTGTTTTTCTTTTTTGTTTTGTTGCCTTCCTCCTGTTCCTCGTGTCTCACTGCCTCATCCCTCCTTTATTCTGCTCTTCTCCTCCTCTTCCCTCCAGCGTCCTCTGGTTTCTACAGGCTGGCTCTGGAACACAAAGGCCTCCTCTGTGCGGGAAACAGGTACAGTGTAACAGGATAACCTGAGCACACACACACACACACACACACACACACACACATACATACACAAGCAAACTCATACACAGCAATTAACAAAGCACTGCTGTCTAAAAGGTGTTTATATGTGTGTGCATGTGTGTGTGTGTGTGTGTTAAACCGTGGTGGCTCAGAAAGTTAAGTTCTTATTATTCCCTGTCGGTATTGAACAATTGGGCAGATAACACGACGGAGGCATCTGTCATTTCTGAGTCATTCTCTCTCACTTTTTTTCCAATAAGCCAGTCCTCTCAGCAGTGTGTGTGTCTCAGAGCAACAGATCTGCAGCTTCAAAGCCCACTGTGTTTGATTGTGTGTGTGTGTGTGTTTAGATTTTGCTGTTTTGTGTATATATGTGCTTTCGTGTGTGTTACTGTGGTCATAATTGTGGTTGGCTCAGTAGGCTTTGGGCCCCTATGCTCTGAGCTGTAATGAAACTGAACCGTGCTGCGTCTGTTTCATGTCTGAAAGGACTAAGTCGAGGCACATTCTGTCCTTTGTCTCGCCGTTCACTTTTCACTATAATGACCATGCATGGAGAATGTGCTCTGTGCTTTGTCTCAGGTGCCCTCATTTTTTCTTTATTTCAGTTTCGCCGCTCCCCTTTAGTTTCGACGGTCTTATCTTTGTATTCATGTTTATTTTTCTCTCTGTCCCGTGTGTGTTCCTCCCTCTCCCGCTCACCCTTTCTTTCAGGAACCAGAGTCTGAATCTGTCTTGCTGTGGTTTTCTGCAGAAGCTCAGTATGTGTCTGCTCTCCCAGCCAAACGCTGCTTCAGGCTCCTACCAGTATGGTATGCAAATATGCACACACACACACACACACACACACACACACACACACACACACACACTTGCACTGCACTGCACACAGAGCTACATGCAGCACCAGTAAAAAAAACCAAAAAAAAACCCTGTTGTTCCTGTCAGTTTCCAAGCAATGATGTCATGCTACCAGTCATCTGAGTCTGCTGCTTGATTGGAACTGTTGACAGAGTTTAAGATTTGTTCGTTTTGTCGATAATTGTTCAAATCAGAAATGTTTTAAGACGTATAAAAATACTTTGCTTTGAAGAATAACATTTTGTCTGATGTTTTTTCCCACAAAAGTAAACACTTGGTTATTTTATCAACATTTTCTAAAAGCCAATCGTTTATGAATATGCAATATTGATAACAGAGACACAAGATGTCTCCTCTCTGAAAAGTCTGTGTGCACCAGAGGTTTCAAGTTTTCACATCACACTTGTGGAAGTTGCAAAATCCCGTTCAGATGTGAGTTCTAGTGTCAAACTCTGAACATACATCATTGTGCAGAATTCAAATTCAATCAACCAAGTGAAGTAACTAATAAGAGAAACACATTTCTGAGGGGAGGGGGGCCTTTAAATAGAGCTCAGTGAATCATTTTAGTTTCTTCATCAACATGAACTCCTATAAATTTTTTCAGAGACATTTTTACTTCAGTGACCGATGAGTTTTTCATTCATTCGTTATATTTATAGTCAATGACAATTAATACTTTAGTCTGGAGGTGATTTGTAGTCCGGGGCATCTCTGCAGCACCACAATGCTTCGTTTATGGTCTCGTCATGATGCATTGCAGCTCCTGCGATTTGGATATTTCACTTGGCCATAATTGCGGTTTCAATAATATGTGGATTAATTGTTCAGCCATATTATTTTTGCATAGAATTTGTCACCATCTATTCAATAGATAGAGGAAGGCAAACTCAACTCACTCAATCGAGCATCTGCTGACTGTGAATGACATTTGAACCGCCGCCACAGACTGAAACATTGCGTTATCTGTGCTGCTCTCTCTCTCTCTCTCTCTCTCTCTCCCTCTCTCTCTCTCTGCCCCCTCTCGCTTTCCTCTTTATGTTTACTTCAAACATCAAAAACATAAAAGAAGACTCTCATCCCTAATAGAGCCGTCTGTTCTCTGAAGTCAGCCAGTGTCCAACCCTGTTCAGAGGAAGGTCTGGGAGCCAGCTTGGCTCACACAGTCAACAAACAAGCGGACGATGCACATGTAGAAAAGCTTGTGTGCGAAAGACATTGAATAATCGTTGGATCTTTCTATACAGAATAAAGGGAATGGACTCAGAGTGTGTACTATAAACATGGCCTTGAGTTGCAAACTGAACAGTGTCTGCTCGCTGCTTCTCAGTTCCTGTGGGAAGAGTTGACGCCAAATCTCTTAAATGTCAACGGCAACACAGATTACACTTTGAATTAAAAGGTCGTTGCTTATGATCATGCGAGACTGAAGTGAAGTATATTAAAGGCAGGTACCTGTAGGTAAGTGAAGATGTAATTGAGTGTAACCTAGTGTTAAACCCAGCAGCTCTCACCCTTCCAGTGAAGAGAGTAAAAAAGATTTTATTGCAAACTGCAGTGGTTCCCAGGAGGACATGTTGTGACATTGAGACCAGAGTTGAGTAAAATATTTCTTAGAGGTAATGAGATGTAAGAGTTGTACAAGCAGCTGTGTAGGTGTGTGTATTTGTTTACGTGTGTTTGTGGCTGTGAATAATGAATTCTGTGGAGCCAGACTCTTGTTTGTTTCCCTTTTCTCCCTGTCAACGTCTTCCTCGCTTTCATCACCCTTATCTGTTTCCGTTTCATTTGCAGCCTCTTGCTTGCTCTCTTTATTTTTTTTTTTCTTTTACTCTCATCCTGAATTTTTTCCATTCCATTTCATGCCGGATATTTCCCACGTTCTGAAAGTCGGTTTGTTATCTTTATTTCAAACTTTATTCATCAGATTTAAACAATTGATATTTTAGTTTTGCCCTTTCTCTTCTCCATCTTGTTCTGTACACTTTCCATGCCGGTGTTTTGATTGTGATTGTGTGCTTTGTTAATTGAATTACTCCCGATATTGCTAATTAATTGTGGTAATTTATTTAAGGGCATCCCCTTGTACTTTTGCATAGCTGTCTGATAATTGTGTAACAGCTGTGGGAATGTTTTCTCTTTCTCTTTCTCTTCTTCTCCTCTTCTCCTCTTCTCCTCTCTTCTTCTATTATTAAAACCTGAGCAGGAGGCAACATGTCACTGCAGCCTGCTTTGCAGATCTGTTTTTTTGTCTTTCTCCCATCTGTTGTTTCCCTTCTCATCTTCATCATCTGTCTGTCCTTTGCTGTGCTCCTCTCCCTCGCAGTCCTCCCACTGAGGCTCCTTTTTTGTCATCTTTGACATCTTCTTTCTATTCTTCTCCCTGCCTCACTGTTCGACCCCCCCCCCCCCCCCCCCCCCCCCCGCCCNAGGTTCCTTAGAGGTGCCTCGTGCCGCTCTCCTCATTTTGTTTTCCCTCCTTTGTTTCCCCCTGCAGACCACTGTGCTCTCCGCCTTCACATGGATCTACAGCCGACCTGGCCACCCTTTCAGGTCCCTGTTCATATTTATCTCTCCTCCTCCTCTCTGTATTTCATGAACTCCTATTCCCTTCTTCACTTTGTTTTCCTCCCTGGCTGATTGGTAGTCTTATTCCCCGCAGACTTTGCTGTGGCTTTACAGCCTCTGTGTAGTCATGCATCAGTGACCTTATCCCTGTCTGCCATCTCCATGTGCCTACTTTGTCATTTTCCTCAGAGCAGTGTGAGTCCCTCGTACTGTATCCTGCACATTTCTTTGTTTCCTCCCTCCTTGCCATCTCTCTCTTTTCCCTCAACACCATTTTCCCTATTCTGTGCCACGTTTTTCTTTTTCCCTTTCTCTGACTGTGTTGTTCTCTTTCTGTGTTCTTTTCAAGTTGCAGCTCCCATTCTTCTCTCTCTCTCTGTCTCTGTCTCTCTCTCTCTCTCTCTCTCTCTACAGCTCCCTAATGACCACCCCGAGATGGAGACAACGTCACAGACAGTAGATGCAGATCGTCCTTCCCTTTGCCTCTTCTTTCTCTTCTTTCTCTTCCCTCTCTCCTCCCATCTTATGTCGTATCGTATATTCATATACATCATTATTGTTTTTCATTTGCCACCCTGTCCTAGTCTTTTCCGTCCTCCAGTCCTTAAATAGGTTGAAGCCTTCCTCGGCACAGTGGTCCCTCCTGTCTCTCTCGTCTTCATCAATCTCTCCCTCGCAGCTTCACTTCCCTCCTCACTGTTCCTGTCCCATCATTCCACGTGCTTTCTTCATCTTGTCTTGCTATTCTTCAGGGACCTCATTTATAAAAAAAATAAATAAATAAATAAAAAAAGCGTTCCTTTAACTTTACTAGATAACACAGTATGGCTTTTTCAAAGAATGACAATGACAGCTGCAGCTTGGTTAATGATGGATATTGGTTTTATGTTTAGATATGATATGGATAATTGGGAAAATGCTAAATCAGTTTATCCCTGAGATGAATTTTTCATAAACCGCAGCTTTGGCTTGACTTTAGTCGTAAACATGAAATTGGTGAGTAATAGTCGCATCGTAAATGAGGCCTCAGGGCCTGTTTTACTTTATTCCATCCATCTCTCTCTTTCATCCGTACCCCTCTCCTCTTTCTTTTCTTCTCTCTCTCACCCTCTCTAACTTTTGTTCCTGCTTTTTAGCATTGTTCATTAAGCTCTTTTCTGATCCTGTCCGCTCATCCCCCAGATGCCGAGGAGGTGGAGAGTCTTCTGCTCTACAACCTTCCCTCCCTGTGTTGCCGTCTGTCGGACTGGCCCTCTCTGCTGCGCGAGGCTCCGGGACTCCAGCTGTGTGAATACAAAGGACCAAGAGCCACTCAGTACTGTCTGGTGATGATGCTGCACCTCGCCCTGCAGCAGGGAGACAGGTAGTAATGGCGTTGGAAAGAGGAGGATGGCATTTGTTTTTTTGTTTTTTTTGCAGGTGTTTTGCTTATTTTAAAAAAAAAAAAGAAGGAAATCTTGTGTTGAAAAAAAAATCTCACGTTCGGGGCTGATAATTGGAGCTGGAAATTGAACGAACCAATCGGCGTTTCAGCATCAATAAAAAGCATTTCGCTGATACAAATTCTAAACACTTGTGTGTGGTGCTGCTGCAGATTGGTTTTGCAGGAAGGGGAGGCATAATTTGAATCAGATGTAGTGACTTTGCTCTCCCATTGCAGTATCTGTTTGCACTGAGCAGCACAGTAATTTCCTGGCTTCATGGCTGCTGACTAGCTCTTGGTAGTGCTGTATTACCTGTAGTAAGAGAATCAATATAAAGAGTAAAATGTCACCACATCTCTTTGTATTCTATACCAGTGCAGGCGGCCGGCCAGCTGCACCACAAGTCTGTGCCCCAGTTTCGTCTGTGTATGAACGTAGGCGAATGGCCTGACGATGTTGACTTAATCAAACGTTGCATCTTCTCAGTTTTGATGTGAAATTATGGGGTATGTCTTATCGGTGCTTCCAGAAATATTTGACAATAATAATGATGGTAATTTTGAGAAACATTCATTATTAATGGCCAAATAGAGACATTTATTGTTGATTTTACTCAGCTGAAGTTTAATAACTTGAGAACATTTCCGCACAAAGCACCACTTCTCTTTGCTTTAATGAAGCCCCTGACAGTAGAAAAGGCATTTGAGCTCTGAAATATCTAAAATCTCGGACGACGCCTCGTGTCATATCACAGCATCATAGTTACAGAGGCAAGAAAAAGTAAATGAATCCTTTGGAATCATCTTCATTTCTGTATAAATTTGTCTTCAATTATCGTCACGGTTCATGTAAGTTACAATTATGAACAGACACAATCTATTATAACAAGTCATTGTATTGTTCTTGTCCATTTTGAAAACATAAAGCTGAAGGGTTTACAAAGTGATTTCAAAGAGTTTAGATATTCATCAGTGCACAGTCAGACAAACTGTGTCTAAATGGAGATGATTCAGTTCTGTGGCTGCTCTCCCCAGAGGTGGGCGTCCGGCTAAGATGAGTCCAAAGGCAAAACGCAGAATGATCAGTAGAAAAGAAGCTCAGAGTAACAGATAAAGGCTTAAAGGAATCATAGGAGCTGGTTCACGTCTCTGTTCATACACACATCATGGAGCCTGGTTTCATGGAGCTCAGTGTCCATCGCAGCAGCTTGACTCTCCACAACACTACTGGGTCAATGTTTTGTGGACTGATGAAACCAAGGTTGAATTGTTTGGGGAGAACATGCAGCTGTATGTTTAGGGTGTAAGAGGGAACTGCACACCAACATGAAAACATCATCCCAAAGGTGAAGCAGGACGGAGAGAGCATCATGATCAGATGATTTTCTGCCTCTGGGCCTGGACAGCTTCACACCGTCGAGGGGGAAATGAATTCCCAAGTTTATCAGGGTCTCTTACAGGATGATGTGAGGGAGACTGTCCACCTGCTGAAGCTCAGGAGAAGCTGCTGATGCAGCAGGATAATGACCCTAAACATCAAAGTTAAATGACTTCAAAGAAAATCCACCTGTTGGAGCGACAGTCGGTCCAGACCTTAATCCAGCAGAGATGCTGTGGAATGACCTGAAGAGTCGCTCTCACCGGACATCCTGAGAATACGAAAGGTCCAAACTTCCTCCTGAACATTGAGCAGCTCTGATCAGCAGCTACTGACGAGCTGGTTTGAGGTTATTGCTGCCAAAGGAGGTTCGATCAGTTATTAAACCCGAGGGTTCACTTTCTTTCTCCACCAGCACCGTGAGCGTTTAATGTCTGTTCAATAAAGACACGAAAGATTGTAATTACGTGTTATCAGCACGCACTTTTTATTGCCACTGTAGATCAGTTTATCACTTGGCTTTACTGAGAAACCAGCTGGTTTTGCATGTTGCTGTAGCTCTCTCTCTCTCTCTCTCTGCTCCCACGGCCCAGCGAGGGTGTTCTTAAGTACATATTTTATGACCTCGGAGATACATCGGCTTCTTTGGAAAGTTTAATCTGTCCTTCAGCAGAACCTCGGCTATGCATTACCCCCAGGGAGGAGGATGAAAGCTTCTCCCTGCCACTGTGTGGTCTCATCAAAATTAATGGTAACTGCGGCCAGAGATTAACATATTGTAGAGGGGCTGAGTGTGTGTAGTGCATGTGTACTCAGGCATCGGATCTGTGTGTACAAGGTGTGATTATGTACCAGCATCAGTCTCATTATTTAATAGCCCCGCCTCGTACTTGTGCTTGTCTCACTGACTGTGCTTGTGTGTGTGTGTGTGTGTGTATTTTGGCGTGAGAAAGAGCGATAGCAAGTTTGTGACATCAACATGCCCCTGGAGCTCTTTGTCTGCTTTGCACACAGAGTTTGTGTGTTTGTCCACATTATCACCCTCACACTGAACGTGTCTGCTGAGGTTTGTTTGACATTCAAATATATCTGTGTCTTATGTGTTTGTATACATTCAAATGTAAATGTTTGGCCACATCTATATGTGTTTGTAATATTGTTAAGTTAATGTTATCATTATTGTTTATGTGTGTCTCTCTCTCTCTCTCTCTCTCTCTCACTCAGGCTCCTCCCAGACCAGACTGTGTTCTCCAGTGTTCTGTGGCTGTTGCGTTCGGTGCAGGAGCAGGGCAGCGGCGCCGTGCCTCATTCTGTGCTCCGCTCTGCCCTCTACCTGCTGGCAGTGACACAGGACAAGAGCCCCAGCCTCGACGGGGTAACTCTGCTCGCTTCACTGAACACAAATCAGAACACACTGTTTTGTAACTTACGAAAGTAGTGCAGTAGATATACAACCTCAGCATCAAGGTGCAGCTTAACCTTCGTATTGTCTTCCCATCGACCTTAAAACTTTTGTCCTGGGTCTGTTTTGACTGTTTATAAAACATGAAGTGTAAAATTATTACCCAATAATTGCATCAAACTTTTCAGTCAACTTCATTCCAACTCATTACTGCAACTTTTACACTTTCTCTTGCAATTTTATGGTCAATAAACCTCATTTACATAAAAATATTCCTTGTTTTGAGTAAAAAAAAACAAGTACATCAGAGGAACATGTTAATGGATCATCACACACAGTTATATGTCAAAGCTTAGTCAGGACACTGTTTTGAAACCATTTGAATAGTGTGATCCACCTATTGTCACCTAAAATTCAATGAAAATAGTGATCGTTAATCACATTTGCAAAAGGCTTAGTAAGGAACCTTCCGTGTTATTTCCAGGCAGTTACGTGAAAGAAAAACATATTTCTGATATAAAAACATCAGACAGGACAACAGCAGGGTGAAGACATTTTCAGTGTTATGAACTGTTTTACCGTTCATCTCTTTATCTTTTACGCCCCACCAAAATACGCTTCGACAGCTGAGACAACAAGTCTGCCTCCGTCTTTAAATATTCTATTTTGCTTTCTTTGAGATAGGTTGAGGCCACATTAAGATGTCAGGATTTCATGGGAAAAAAAAGGTGTTCAACAAGACGTTTTCTTCTGTGCAGGGAGAAAGAGAACAGCGTGCACCGAGACTCCTGCTCTGTTCGGTTTAATATGGAACCCATTAATGTGGAGGCCACGAGCTCCGACAGCTCATATTCATCTTTTGATAGGAAATCCATATTGTGCTGAAGATGATTCAGTGACAAAGAATATTAATTATCGCTCGACTATTTCTTTTTCTTTTTTTTTTAAAGCCACAGAGAACAAATAACATTTTCTCAAAAGAATATGATTTTCTTTAGTTCAAAAAACGTGGAAAAACCTTGTGCTGCAGCTTCTCTGAAAGTACTTAATTGTATACACCATATGTTGACTATGAATATAAAAAAGCAAACATATTACAGGAGACGTCCCGCTGTGACTGAGGAGTGTGGCTCGGTGGGGTTTAAAAGCAATCGCACATTTGGATGAAAAATATTCTTTTTGAAACCACAAACTCCTCATTGCGTGTGTGTGTGTTTGTGTTTGTGTGTGTGTGTGTGTGTGTGTGTGTGTGTGTACGTACACTCATCTTAAAGAAAATAATTTGGCCTTTTCACTCTTTCTTTACCGCTCTACTCAAGGCTCCTTTGAACTGCGTCGGCAAGGCACTCTCCTCTTGCCAAAGCTTCTCCTCCCTCTACATCCACCATCCTGCACTCCTCCATTTCGTCTGGCGCTATCCGGAGCTAGCCGAGAAATTTGGGCCTTTGGTCCTGGAGCTTTGGCTGACCAAGCAAGCACAGCACACAGTTGCAGGGCAGACCGTGGTGAGGCGGGGGGGGGCAGGGGCAGTTGTTTCGCTTGTAGCTCAGACTCACGTTACAGTCGATGAATGATAATTTTTCTTCTTTTTTTATTTAATTCCTTTTGAACTCTCACAAATGAAAAGTCAGAACTTGGATTTGATTCCTGGGTACAGGCAGACGTGCAGGGGAAGGGAGGGAAGACAGGAAGCCGTGCAGATGAGAGGCAGGATCAGGAGCCAGACGCAGAAACCACGGAGCTTCTGACTGTGATAGAGAAGTATCCGGCTGTTACTCTGACCCTCCTGGTGAGAACCCGATACCCACGAAGGGTAAAAGGAAGATGCTTTTAAATGGTGGCTGATTTGCTGCATTGTGTCACACACATGCATCTTCAACCTGCGTTGTGTAACCTGGTTGGCTTCACTGCTTTAGGTTAAGGCTGATACAAAAAAAAAATATTCCTGGTTTGTGTCTGTCTTTGTATTTGAATGTCTGTGTGACCACAGGAGATGCTTTGCACCAGGGAGGCCCCCCTGGCAGAGCGAGCGCTGCGGGTGCTGGAAGTGCTTTTGAGGGGTCGAAGACACTGTGAGAAGGATTTGTGTGCCAACCTCAGACCGGCACTCCTCCAGGCACTACAGAGGCTGAGTGTGGAGAACATGGGGCTTGGACAGGGACGCACTGAACAGGGTGAGAGACGGTAAACTCACAGGAGGAGTGTATCACTTCATAGAAGGATTGTTGAACTTCTTGTTGCATCCTTTAAAAAAAAAATCTGTTTCGGGACAAAAATATGTGCAAGGTTCATTGACGCTACGCCATGGCTCAGATTTATTACAACGGATGAGATGCACTGTAATGGAAGACATTAGGAAATGTGATTCTTTGTTGAATTTCATAATGAGTCAGGCTGTCTTTTAAAATCAAGACAGCTTCGTGTGGAGGTGATGAAAATTGGAGCAGTGGTTTTAATTTACACTTTCACTAACAATTCATGGGGAAGGCAGAGATAACTCAGGCAGCATTAAACCGCTACGACAGCTTCACGCACCTTCAGTGCAGCAGTGAAGCATTAATGGATTATTTCATTTGAAATTAATGCGCATCAATCAGGAGATTTGAATACGTTATGTGTGAACAGAAGACTCATTAAGCACCCTGAACCACACCCTCCTACCAATGCATGCACACAATATTGTTTTACATGCATAATCAAACTGGGAGACACACGAGCAACGAGCTACGGTATTGTTTCTTCTGATTTAATCTCACTGATCGACGTGACATCACTTTATGACGCGGCTTCGTCACGGGTCAGAAACCCGTCAAGTTGTTCTGTCTGTTGATGTTGAAGACTACACTGTTGTCTATGAAAGCTTTACTGGTTGCATCACTGGAGTTTGCAGTTCTCAGGTTTTTCAAACCCTCTTAGCTTAGTCATGCACTGCGGCCAAATTTAGACACAAGAATTCTCACTAATACAACTTCCTGACTCCTACGGCTTCAGACTGCAGTATACATTCAGCTCCTCACGCTAAAACAACATTGGGTGTTTTTTGCAAATATTCTCTACAGCAAGTGACTATTCACTATCATGTATCAAGTTTAATGTGAGCAGATTTGATTCAACACCCGGTTGTATCTCATTAAAGTGCAGATACAGATAATTACAGCTGATAGATTGAGGTAAATGTTGCTGTTCACTCCCCTGAGTTTACCCTCTTTGATGCAGCAGACCTTGTTTTGTTTTCTTCCGGGGTGTTTTTCTGCCTCAGTCATACATATCAAAACTGTGTATAGCAAATGAAAGCTTAAAGTGAAATTGTCTCATTCCCGAACAAGTCCATGCACACAGAACATAACACACACACACACACACACACACACACACACACAGAGGGGTTTACCCAGTGGGCTCGTACACTGTGAGATGTAATAGGCAAATCCACCCTGACAGTCTTTTTTTTCTCCCCACACAGTAAACACTGAAAGAGTTAATTAAATCTCAGATTTATAAACAGCCAGCAGCAGCAGCCACACCTGGGCTCAGATGCCCATCTCTTCATATTGACTGGAAACTTATCTTTTGCTTAGGAAAAAGCAATTTTGGTTAAATGTCTCTCCACAGAATTCCTTCCCGCCGCAGTCTGTACGACAAAAACATTTGACGAGACCAGGACGCTACAAGAAAACACAAGAGTTTGTCATTAATCAGCAGACAGACGGGCAGCACTGGCACAAGGATCCAAATGTAGATGCAGGAGGCATGGCTAATGTAGCTAAGTGATTGTGTTTACACAAAGAGGAACAACGCCTTATGTGACGAGGAGGCAGGTTTGGGTCAAACCCAGAGAAAGCTCCAACAAATCCGGAAATTCTCAGGCAGGAAAAACCAATTTTAAATAAACAGGTAGAAACAGGAAACCAAGACGTGAAACACACAGCGACAGCGAAATGTTCTGGAGAGGAAGAGAACCGGTGTGTGTAGCGAAAGGTTGTTAGGGAACCGAGGTGCTGATGAGAAGCGGGAACAGGTGTGTGGATGGGCGGGGGCAGTCAGTCAGGTGATGAGAAAAGGGGAAAGTCCCGAGGACACCTGGTGGACAGCTAGAGGAAGACAGGTCTGCGGAGATGAAGGAGGAGGAGGAGAACGAGGCCTGGGAGAGGTGAGGAGGGGCAGGAGAGAGGGGTCATTCCAATCATATTATATGTATGAATTATTTTAAAAAACTTTCAACTTAATTCACCCTCTACTCCACAAGCTTCACCTGGGAGCGCGGAACAAATTACACTGGGAATTTAAATAATGATATGAAAATAACAATTGGTACAGACACAGTAAGACATCTGTGAAGTAACTGGCATCGATTAATAGGTCCATTTGGCACAACGTGCTTTCACTAACGCAACGGAAAGCACTTAGTTTAATTATTCTCACATATTGGATCGTTTGATAGAATACCTGTGCTGATGTATTTAGTTTGTTGAGCAGGATTTTCTCTCTCTGATGGTTCCAGCGTCAGAGGCCAGGCTGATTACAGTCACACGGATTTTGCACATATGCAGTAACGAGTTGTGCGTGATGGTTCCTTTATACGTAGGTCATGTGGCCTGTGGTGGAGCTGTTTGTTTGAACCGTCCTGCCAGACGACCTCATGGTTTCACTGAACTGTAATCACAAAGTCTCTCCGTAAAACTTGGTTAGTTTTAAATTGGAATGACATTGCAGAACAGTTCCCAGAACACTGTCGCCTGTGATTAATGTTTGAGGCGAAGAACCATTAATCCATTAAAACAAATCTTCCCCAACATCCTCTGTCAACACAGACGGCGGGACGCTAGTTTATCTCGATGACTCCTCTGCATGAAGGCTGTAGCGTCGTGTTCAGTACTGTCGAGTGTGCATGAGGTCGTTATCATGCAAAGGTTTTGTGTTGTTTATGTTTGAGGGAGAAAAAACGCTTGATGTAATATTAGTTTTGAATTTCAACATTCACAGAGCATGAATTAAGGAAAGGACCGAGGGAAGTGCAACTTTTAGAGGATGCTGGCAGATTAAATCAAAGATTGGCCTCCAGTTCAGCTTGGTGTGTTTAGTTTGTAAAGTACAGCATTTGTTAGATCATGTCGTATAAGAGGCAGTATACACGCAGATATGCAGAACAGCTCTGCTCCCTGTTTGCTGTCTGCTGTAGAGTGCGTCGAGATATCAGAAAAAAATTCTCCTTGTGAATCGAAGTAATTAGAGAGTAAGTTTGATTCTCGTGAAATCACACGCCGTCCTGTTCGAATCCAGGTTTACAGCTTCGGCTCTGTCCACGCAAATATCTGGTGCTGTAATGTGCTTTTTTATATTTTTTTTTTGGTCGAGGTGTCTGCTGCCAGATGGCATTATTATATCTGTTTACTTGACCAGGTTAATGAGCGCCGCTGAAGGGCACAACGCTGGTGTGCCAGCTGGGGATTCAGAAACTGTTGCTGTGGTTAGCCTCTGCCTGCTTTCTGCTCATCCCGAGCCCTGTGGGGATTAGAGGCTGTTATCCTGCACGTGTTCCAGTTCAGCCCACTGTAATTTGCATTAATATATACTTTATATTAGCCTCTAATGCGGCGGCATCCCAAGGGGAGATATTTTAATGTTATGCTCTACAGCGGTGAAAGGAGTATGTAGATGACTGTTCTGCCTGATCTTCTTCCTGCAGTCGCTTTTCCTGTTAGAGTAACGCTGCCCTTCCTCTTCTTGCACATCGTCTCCCTCTTCACATTCCCCCTCTGTTCTCTCTCTCTCTCTCTCTCACCCATAACGCTCCTTGGATCCAGACCCAGAATATTGTTATGTAAGTCTTCTTGGTAATTTTTAACATTTTCTAAGTTTTCTTCTTCTTGCCTCTCCTTGATGATCACTATTTCCTCCAGCCACCTCTTCGTCTGCAGCTTCAGTGAGTCCACAAGTGAGTGCAAGATACTGTCTTGCGTCAGGTTTGAACAGTGTCATCTATTTTTGCTGTGCTGTGAAAACCACTGTGGGAACATGAGGTTTCACTCTGAGCAAGTCAGCCAGTCTTTTACCTGCTCCCCCGTACACATATATACACTTCTGTCGCTCACTGTCCACACTGTTTTATTAAGTTTATCCTCTCTCGCCCCGCACTTTCATTGTGTTTGTATTTAGCTTCGCCTGCCTGTCTGCGCCTCTCGCCTCTTTTACAGCGGCACTTTGTTTCTCCCTCTCTTTGCCTGGCAGTGAACTCGCTCCCTCTGCTGCTGAAGCTGCTCGGTGTGACTCAGGCCAGCGACCCGCCTTCATCCTCCTCCTACAGTAAGATGGATGGAGTGCACTTCAAGCTTCTGTACCACGGTGAGGTTAAAAGGTGCTGCAGGCGGGTCGTAGCATATTAGCATACACACACGTTCACACAGTTTCTACACAGTGTATTTCATTCATTCAGAGACATATTGTTTTCGGGCTGCCTGTCCGTCCGTCGCGTTCTCAGAAACACCATGACGGAACTTCTTGAAATTTGGCGCAAACGTTCACTGGGACCCAATGATGAACAGTTTAGATTTGGGGGATCGAAGGTCAAAGGTCAAGGTCACAGTGACCTCACAAAACATGGTTTTGGCCGTGCCAACGCAGTATCTCCGTAACGCCTTCAGGGAATGTCTTCAAATTTGGTGAAAACTTTCATCTAGAGTCGAGGACAAACTGATTAAAATTTGGTGGCCAAAGGTCAAAGTTCAAAGGTCACGGTCACGGTGCCCTCACAAATGGTGGTTTTGTTCCTTGTGAGCGCAAAATCTCTGTAACGCCTTCAAATTTGGCACAAACATTCACTTGGACTCAGGGATGAACTGATTAGCTTTTGGTGGCTCAAGGTCAAAGGTCAAGGTCATGGTGACCTGTGAAAACACTTTGTAGCCATTACTCAAGACTCCACACAGAAAATATCACACAGATGTTTAATATTTTCTATGACTCTGGATAAACAGGGATGTAACCTGGAACTAGTCTGAGTGGCGGAGGGATACAACGGCGAGGAGGCGATTCTAGTTTACATTGCTCTGCATTCTCCGTCACATCTCCTGCATCAGTCAGTAAAGCGCTTGCTAGATTACAGACAACATTGTCTCTCACACAGACGCTACAGACACACAACACATTTTTGCAGCGATGCGTACATTTTCCTCTCTCACACAGGATCTTACCTGCTGCGTTACAGACACATAACCATCTAGTGACTGCACTAAGACACTCTCCATTCAACACATGTTTTATTCTGCTGTTAGCTTATTCTCACCTCCCGTCTGCGCTCGCCTGCGTTCCTTCGTAAGATGAGGCCTCGCTAGTCTTTGATTTAATGTCACCGTCAACAAACCCACAGAGGAGAACACTCAATGCTGATCTGCAAATGAAAACGCTGTTCAGAGATTTACTAGACATTTACTAGACATGTTTGACATTTGCACTGGCAGATCAGATTAATTCAGTTTTTACCGACCGATGGCAGACGTGACGTGACAGGCAGCAAATGGCAAAGCTCATCTTGTTACATTTTATCTGTCTCTCACATCGTGTGTCAATGTCTGTGGATGAAATCTTTCTCAAAAGCCTTTGAGAGCACCAAACTTGAATGCATGTGTGTGTGTCTGTGTGTGTGTCTGTGTGTGTGTGTGTGTGTGTGTGTGTGTGTGTGTGTGTGTGTGTGTGTGTGTGTGTGTGTGTGTCAGTAAGTAATATAGCAGGGAGGTTGAAGCCTACGAACACGGAGAGCCTGCTGCCTGCCCTCAGCTATCTGCACTGCTGCCTGAGTCTGTCGCCTGCACACTGCACTGACAGAGGTTAGACACACACTCCCCCCCCCCCGTCTCTCTATCCTCACGTATTTGTCTTACTCTCTTTACTCTCCCGACACCGCATCCTTCACACACTCTGCCTCTTCACCCTCTGTGTGTTTCTGTCGCGCTCTCTCTCTCTCTCCACCTGCCCTGTTTTGCCAGAGGTGACAGACTGACCTTGACGAGTGCGAAGCATTGAGACACAGAGGAAATAATAAGCAAACAATCTGACACCTGCTGTACATCTTTATGGTATAATTCTGCTGTTGAGTCTGAGAGCGTTTCACACATCTGCACAAGAATTCTCAGGGTTGTGTTGTCCCCTTGCTAGATTCTAAATACTGCACATGCAAACACAAAACCACACAAGTAAATTTAAACATGCACCTCACACATCCACACAGCGACACGGTCAGTAGACTGGGGTCAGAGATCTCAGGCATAAAGACACACACACACACTGAACACAGTTTATTTTTCCTCTTGCAGATGAGAGAAACATAAGAATTTCTCAGCTGAAGGTTTAATTGGACGTCTCTGTTCAAGAGAAAACAAAAATCATTCCTGAATCAATGAGCCAAGATATAGAAGGAATAGCTCCACTATGGAACTAATAATAATGAAATGATTCACAGCGAGCTGCCGTCAACAGGATGAATCAAGACATGTTACACTGCCTCACACCAGAGACATCAATTACACGACATGGCGTATTGATGGGAACTGTTTTAATTATAAGCTAAATAATTTCCTCAGCAGAGGTCACTGAGCTGCTTGTTAATAAGGTGAGGCTAGTGGCCAGAGAGCAGGGGCGCCATTGAGAAGCAAACTGCCTCTGCTGCAGCCTACCTGCATTCACCATCTGCTTCTTTATCTCTGCTGCTGAGTTTACAAATGCTAGTTATTCCAGCCTTGGGCAAGACAGTGTTTCAGCTGACGGTGTGTTGCACAGGAATAGTAATACAGCTCCTCCGTCTCAAGGCAAACAGTCGGATATTCTAACTTTAAATAATATAAAATCATAGTTTTTTCTTTTACTTACAGTCGACCTGGTTGGCTGCCTATGTACTGTATATCACCCCGGTATTATGCAAATGATTTCCACGTGTATTTCGTTCATTTTTGTCGAGGCAACAACCTGATTTCTACATTGTTATTTTAAGTGTTCCTCGTGACTTAAGGTGGCAGAAGTGTAGCCGCACTAAGAGAATGATGTGAAAGTGAGAATGATCCTCATGTGTGGGCGTGTTTGCGTAATTGTGGGTGGGTGCCCGCAGCACGTCACCGTGTAGTCATCCGGACCAACTGCTGTTCACACACATACCGACACACGAGCGTGGATCTCATCAAAGTGTGATGACATGGTGCCTTCTCCTCCCCAGCTGTCTCCATGCTGCTCTCCAACGATGGACTGATGGACCAGCTGCAGACTGTCCTCGCCTCCTCCTCCTCCTCCTCATCCTCTGCTCCATCCCTCTCTCCATCAGCCTGTCCTCCTCCTTCAGCCCTGCTGTGCTGCAGCCATCTCCTCATGTCCTCCCTCATTACCTTGCAGCGTTTTCACTCCGCTCAGGTACACACTACAGCTCAGCGTCGCCCTTATCACAACTTTAGGATAAAACTTCCCACAGTGAAGGCGCCATCGAAGGGCAAGAAACAGAACATATAGAGCAGATTCAGATGTGGGCGTAGAATACAAAACACCATTTGGATTCAATATGTAATACAGTAATGAGGAAGTATAAAACAATGCACTTTCTTCTCCGCTCTCTGCTCAGACAGAGGGGATATTACAATCTTTCTTTTGCCCCTCGTCTTGTTATTCTTATTCTCTCCTCCTCTCCCTTGTTCTCTCTTTGTCTCCATTATTTAAGGTCCATAAGAGCGTCAGTTGGAGTCTGGACGCAGCTGTGCAGCGACTCCTCCTTCAGAAAAGAAACACAGACAATCTCTTGCTGGGTAACAAGAATTTTTAGCTGATGATTATTTTTGAAGGATTTCTGCCCTCGCAGGCAGCAAACGCAAAAAAACAATTCATCAGCAATTTAAGTGCTGTGTTTATAGCAAGTGTGCGTAACCTAAGTATACTTCAGTGATTTTCCACAATCACATGTATTTGTCCACAGCTCATGTTTTCTCTATTTTCCTTTTTGTTCTTCTTCCTCCCTAATTTGTGTTTTCTATTTACCTCCACTCAGTTCATCCTCGCTGTGATTCTGTGATGCTCCATTTTACAGTGCAATTGCAAACACATTAGAGAATTCGTACAAATCACGACACCTCATTGTCTGTCAGCCGGGTTTGGTTCAGATTTACAGAAGCTGTCCAAATATTGTATGAACCTCAGGATCGACTGATAAGATTCTCCGTTTGGTTCAAGCGGTAACCTCCGAGGCTGAAAGATGAAGCCAACATGGAAGTATCAAAAACTGCACCTCTTCTAGTGGCCGCTTGAGGCTCCAGCAGTGACTCAATCCCCATAGACTCCCATGTTAAAATGTCTAACAACATGTTTACAGCCTGGTGCACAAGACGGTTTTGGTCTCTATGGCTAATTTCCTCCGTCATGGCAACTGTTTATAAAACTCGCTTGTTATAATTTTATTAAGGTTTAAAGTTCTGCATAATTGGGGGCGTGGTTGCTTTGAGTGACAGGCGGGTGAAGTCTCGGCTCGACACGCTCGCTCCTCCTCGCTCGCTCGTTTTTGGATTAGCCAGGAGCTTCGGCGGAGTCAGGTGAGGTGACGGCGGCGGCGGCGGAGCGGCTCACTCTGAGCTGAACATCACAGAGGCTTCGTCCAATGTTTATTTACAGTCTACGGTCTACATATGTACTCTGTGTTTAGCGTAACCAAACCCTGTGCACGCGTTTCACACACTTTCATTATATTAAGTGGCCCACATCCCGCCGCACCACTCGCAGACAGATCATCCCTGCTGCTCCTGTGTCTCTGTCTGTCAGCTGGATAAGTGGCCTGTCAGGATCAATGTGATGTATTGGCTCCATCCCTCTGCCTGCCTATCTCTCTCTCTCTCTCTCTCTCTCTCTCTTCACTCACTCTGTCTCCTCGCTGTTTTTCTGTCTCTTAGTTTTTTTTTATCTTATGCTTCACATTCTACATTTCCTTTCCCATCCATCCATCTCCCCCGCTCTGTTGCTGTGCTGCGCTCTCCTCCCTCTCTTCTGCTGCCACTAATTGAGTCCTCCCTCCCTCAGAGAGCTCTAATCTCAGTGTACATGGTGTAAGTGCAATTCAAATGGTTGGCAGCTCTCAGTTTGGATCCCACTGTGTTTAAGCAATCATTTTGGCCATGTCTTGTCTCTTAATCTCCATCGCTATTTTGATCTCTCCGTCTTGCCAACCTTCCCTTCACCTTGTCTCTCGCTGCCTCACACACCATCTACACTCGGCGCTGAGATCTTTAACTTCTTGCCCCGCCCCGCTTTCTGTCACTCGGTTCCTTTTCATCTGTTTATTCTGCGTCTCCTCGGCGCTTGTGTTCCCTCTGCTTCCTGCTTTTAATATCTTTTTCTATTTCAAACTTCCACTTCCCACTCGCCCGCTCACTCCCTTCTGCTCTGCTCCGTACCTGTTTCTCCCGTGGCCTTGCCCTCCGAAATTTATTCGCTTTCTCCTCTTCCTCACCGTTGTGTTTAGGCGTTCAATCTTCTTCTAATTCCCTTTGACTTTCCCTCCCTCTCTCTCTCCCTCTTTCCAGTCAGCTACCTGAGGCTGCTGCAGGCTCTACTCGACGTCGACTTGACATCAGCGGTGGTATGTGTGAGCACCGGTCCTGGTTTGGTCGGGCCCAGACCCCTGGGAGTCCAAGATGGAGCTTTGTACCCGCTTGGCTCCAGAGGGGCCCGATGCCTCTCAGCCGCTCTCAGTGGACTTCTTTTACAGGTTGTAGTACTTGGGGGTGGGGATTTATATATGTGTCTTTGTGTGTGTGTGTGTGTGTGTGTGTGTGTGTGTGTGTTGGTCTGCACAAGCACATGTAAAAAAAAAGGAAACAGAGCGGGAGATTTAGGGCAAAGTAAACGACTGGAGACACAGGAGAGACGGTACGTGTTTGACCATGAGACTAACGGTTACTTCAGTCATATTGTAAATATTGGTACAGATAGCTCACTCGCTGCTGTTGAACTGTCTTAAACGTAATATGGATTTTACATCAAGAGATGAATTTCAGTCTGCTCCGGGGACGTCGCTTACATTGCATTTCCCACATTTCTTGTTTGTGGGAGGCAGAAATAACAGCAAACAGCTTCAGTGAATTCTGTGTTGTAATGAAAGGTGGAGAGCTACCAAATGTTTTGTTCCTCAACAAGCGATGGTTAGAAATTAAGCTGATGTAGTGTTACAGGAAGTCTCCAGCTGTGAGCAAATGTTGTGTACTTCATTATAAAGTTTTTAATGGTGAACAGTGATAATGAAAAACTAAGATAAGTTATGCACAGCTATTCCCTAATTCATTTTTTTATCCTTAATTCCATAAATCAGCAAATACTGACTCACTTGAGACGCTAACAAATGCAATACGAATAACAATATGTGCAGAAATGTTTATTCAAAGGATTAAAAAGAAAAAGATTACATCAGATTGAGCAGTGTTGCTCTATCCTCAGACAGATGCACAGCACACGTGGGCTTCAACGTTGATCTCTTTCTTTGCCTCTGCTCCAGGTGATCTTTAAAATCTTCACGGCGTGACATTTGAACCCGCCTTTCACACACACACACACACACACACACACACTGTGCTGTGTAGAAAACGAAAACGAGGTTGCGATTGATTTAGCCAGTTAGCATAATGGAAATGGCACACAGATCCAGAGCGATCACAGGTGTCTCCAAAACGTTGTCACAGGTGTATTGACCTTGGTCACTTATTGGAAAAGAATCAGACTGAGTTGATTTTACATTAAACAGGTGACTCCTCCTCCTGGGCGGCAGCCGGCACACCTATATATGAGTGCAGAAAATACAGCAGTAGATAGAGTCTTTATCAAAGACATCATAAAGAATCTAATGCAGTAACGTCAACTGTGCACTGAAGTACTACATATGTTGATCCTTACACAGCCCTTTTGATTTTTACTGTTGTTTCAACCTGATAATTCTGTCCGATTAAAGCCGGTGCTCCAGCTTCACAATCCACAGAGGCACCACATAAATATGAAGCACTAAAATGCTCCATCACACAACCCAAGTGCGTTGGCTACTGCCTTTACTGCCATCGGTTAATGCACTAAAGTCTGAAGACTCCCACGATAAAAGGTTCAATTTTTCTATATGACTGAAGCTCGGATATTGCGAATCAATGAATCACGAGGCTTGCAGGAGTTATGTGTGTGGCGCCGGAGTGAGTGCGGTAATGCATTTCGCCTCCGTCTTTAAATTTGGGCGCAGCTGACGGCTAAGACTCATTGTCCATTAAACAGATGTAGCTTCGAATTATTCTTAAGCCCTTGACATTCTCACACCGCAGCACACAACGACCACATTGTCAGGTTTGTTAGTGAAACGGGAAAACGTAAGTTTAAACAGCAAAAACAAGTCAAAACAGAAACAGCCACAGACAATTCCTCTTAACAATATAAGCATCGTGAAAACAGTTCAGAGGAACAAGGTCGTCTTGAATCAGCGGGAACAAAGAGGTGGTCTGCAGTCACATTGCTGTGGGAGGTTGTGTGGACGCCCGCTGTCCTGTACGTTCCAGCGGCTTAATGCTAAACCTCAAAGAGGCTCCGGCTAATGAGGCGTAGAAACCACAGGCACGTGTTGATCCTGATGTGTTAAAGGTCACGGCCGCCACAAGAAGCCCATCTCTTCCCACGCACCCACCAGTACTTTATCATTTGATTATTTTATCAATATATTAATTAAGAGGCATTACACATACGAGCTGTAACGTTAATGAGTTAAACCTTCAGTGGTGAGAGTTGAACAAAAGCATCAGTATACACACACACACACACACACACACACACACACACACTGCAGTTGCGAAAAGAGATATTTATATATTTGAGTGTATATTCAAAAAGAATCTGGATAAAATATGTAAACTGTGAGATAATTGGGTGTCGCGCCTGTTATATCTCCTTTTTATCCTGCGCCTGTGTTGCAGCCCGCCAGCCTCTGGTTCCACACCAGTGGCGTTTCCCCTTCCGTATAAAAGACTGAAGTGCTGAACTGAGCTGCAGCTCTATGGTTCAGTGCTCTGTAGTCTGCTGTTCAGCAGCTGATATGAGTAACAGTCGCCCCCCCCCCCTTCTCTCCTCCGTTTTGCTCTCTTTCCCCCATGATGCTCTGGTTTTGGTGGCAGGAGGAAACATCACAGCTCCTCTCCTCTCCCTTCACTCCTCACTGTTCCTTGCTCTCATTTAAACCTGTCTTTTAATCATCATGTCCTCATCTGCCCTCTTCTCATCTGTCCTTTCTCCTACCTCTGGCCACTTCACCTCCCCTCACTCACTCTCTCTCTCTCTCTCTCTCTCATCCCCTCCCACTTATAAATTTCTTTCTTCTCCTGTCTCCTCCTCTCCGCCTCAGGATTAGGGTGTAACTCTCCGCTGTCGTCTATATATCCGTCTGGCCTACTTCAGTATTTTTGGACACTACACAGTGTTCACTGCCAGCGCTGCCACAGTGGGAGATACATGCATTATCAAAACCTCGCTCAGTTGCTCTCTGTGGTGTTCCCTTTGTTTTGTCTGCATCTGTGTCCACGTGTGTGTGTGTGTGTGTGTGTGTGTGTGTGTGTGTGTGTGTGTGTGTGTGTGTTCATATCTGACGAGTCAGAGCTCACAGGCAACACGTCACACTTCTGTGGCCCCTCGTGACTTGCAACGATGTGACATTTTACAGATGGAAAACGTCTCAAAAGATCTTCATCTTCTTCTTCTTCTCTGTGCTGAGTGTGTGTATACTCATCTTCCCTCTCGTGTTTCACTCCGCTGTGCCTCGTTCTCCTCAGAAGCACGAGCTGCTGCTGAGAGCCTCAGTCAACTGCCTAAGCTCCCTCCTGGGCTTCCTTCAGAGGAAGAGTCCTATTACAGGTACCAGACAGAGGCGGGTAGGGAGTGAGTGAGTGCAGGTAATCTGTACATGTGTGAGTGATACTTCTGTGTCTGTTCGTTCATTTGTGTCTTGTTATTCTCTCTCATATTATCTCCGTCTTCAACTCTGTAGAATCCATGTTTGTTTGTTTATTTGTTTGTTTTTGTTTTTGTTTTTGTTTTTGTTTTACAGGCTCTGTGTTTTCATGTTTTGGCTCTTGGCAAGTTTTCACATGTTAACTGTTTTTCAGTAACTGTACCGGCAGGAAAAGAGTAAAATTAAACCGAATTGATCTGAATTAGACATCCTGACTTGTCATTTCTCTCCCCCTGGGTTTGTTTTGTGTGTTTGTGTGTGTGTGTGTGTGTGTCTGTGTCTGTGTCTGTGTCTGTGTGTCTGTGTGTCACACTCACGCACTCGCAGTCAGCCATGGAGTCGATTCCTCCTCTACAGCTTGCTCAGCTCGGGAGAGAGCTGCCTCCTCCACCCTGCCATTCTCAGACTCATCACACTTGTGAGAGGTTTTACACACGCACACACACACACACACACACACACACACACACTCACGCACTCGCACTCGCACCACTCAAATCAAGTATAATTTCTTGGGCATGGTTCTGAGCAGTAATAAATATTTGATATTAAAAGTATCAAAAGTTAATGAAGGTAATAAAAGCGAAGAAGTGGCAGAAGTATTTAGATCACCTGAGCAATGAGAGTGAATACAGAGCAGTGTTTTACAGGCTGACACACAGACACACGTGGAAATTAAAGAAACCTATTACCATAGTTTGTGTTGTGAGCTGTGGCTCCGAACACTTTCTTTTCATTCATTATTCAGTGAACACAGGGGAGGAACGTCTGGTCAGCTGTGACCCTTTGAGGTACATAAGAGTCTAAAACTTGATCCTTGTCCTTTTACATTTATTTAATTGACCTTTACTTCAACCACAATAAATCACATCACTGTTTATTGTTTCCTTGATTCTTAATGCTTTTTTCTCTGTCCGTTTATTTATGTCTCCCTCTGGTTTTTCCTCCCGTGTTTCTTAGTTACTGCATCTGTGCATGATTGTGCATTTTTATGTATACGTCCAACTGTGTATGTGTGTGTGTCCTCTGCAGCTCCTGCAGCACAGCAGCACAGCAGCTCTGTGGGAGCCTGACCTGCTCCAGGTGATGGAGGCGGTGGAGAGGAAGGGGGTGAAGGAGCTTAGCCAGGAAGCAGCACAGGCCCTCAGGCTGCTCCTCACACAGGTAGACATGTATACACACACACACACACACACACACACACAGATAAAATAATGAGAACATTGAGTGGATTCTCACAGCAATGGGCCTTTTACATGCTGGCGCCTGTGTATATCTATTTTCCGTGAGTGAATGAATTGGAAAAGGAATCAAGTTCAGATTAAGTTCAGTCGTTCTCACAGTCTCACACAGAGATGATGCAGTGAAGGAAAAGTGAGCGAACCGTTCGGAGTGACCTGGTTTTCAGCATCATTTGGTTTTAGAATATGAGACAAACACAATGTGCTTCAGCTAATATCACACAAACAGTTATAATCTTTCGTGTCTTTATTGAACAGACATTAAACGCTCACGGTGCTGGTGGAGAAAGAACGTGAACCCTCGGGTTTAATAACTGATCGAACCTCCTTTGGCAGCAATAACCTCAAACCAGCTCGTCAGTAGCTGCTGATCAGAGCTGCTCAATGTTCAGGAGGAAGTTTGGACCTTTCGTATTCTCAGGATGTCCGGTGAGAGCGACTCTTCAGGTCATTCCACAGCATCTCTGCTGGATTAAGGTCTGGACCGACTGTCGCTCCAACAGGTGGATTTTCTTTGAAGTCATTTAACTTTGATGTTTAGGGTCATTATCCTGCTGCATCAGCAGCTTCTCCTGAGCTTCAGCAAGTGGACAGTCTCCCTCACATCATCCTGTAAGAGACCCTGATAAACTTGGGAATTCATTTCCCCCTCGACGGTGTGAAGCTGTCCAGGCCCAGAGGCAGAAAATCATCTGATCATGATGCTCTCTCCGTCCTGCTTCACCTTTGGGATGATGTTTTCATGTTGGTGTGCAGTTCCCTCTTACACCCTAAACATACAGCTGCATGTTCTCCCCAAACAATTCAACCTTGGTTTCATCAGTCCACAAAACATTGACCCAGTAGTGTTGTGGAGAGTCAAGCTGCTCTTTTGGAGAGCAGCAGCTTCCTCTGTGGTGTCCCAGCTCCAAGCAACCAGACATCATGATGTGTGTATGAACAGAGACGTGAACCAGCTCCTATGATTCCTTTAAGCCTTTATCTGTCTTTGTTACGTTACGAGCTTTTGGACTGATCTTAGCCTCTTCTAGGAGGAGCAGCCACAGGCCGAACTCTTCTCCATTCACAGACAGTTTGTCTGACTGTGCACTGACGAATAACTAAACTCTGTGAGACGACTCTGTGACCCTCTCCAGCTTTATGCAAATCAACAATTCTTGATCTTCAGTCTTCTGAGATCTCTGTTTCACATCAGCAGATGTTTCTTGTGAACAGCAAACAGTAAACCTGGAGGCCAGTCAATGAAATGGTTATTTTAATTATAAAAAAACACTAACTCCTGACTCCAGTTGGCTTTTGTTGATGCCACTAGCCGAGGAGTTCACACACTTTTTTTTCCAACCTACACTGCGAATGTTTTCAGTGTGGAGAAGAACAAAAACAGTTTTAGCTAAAATAGATTGTGTTTGTGGATCAGACAAATTTATACATAAATGAAGATAATTGCAAAGGCCTCACGTACTTCTTCTTGCCGCTGTATTACTTCCAAATTTTTATTCACTTGCTGCAGAAAACAGCACAGGCAGCAGAACACAGAGACAGCAGGGGAAATGTTAATGGGAAAGAGCAGGTTTGTTTATGCAAATAAAATACCAGCATTTTGCACTGCAGCAGCAAAATGCCAATTTACAACAGTAGCCTCAGTGTGGGACTTCGTCTCGCTTCACACAGTGGCGCCCGGTAAAAGGCTGATTGAGAGCTTTGGTCTAACCTTGAAGTGATGCAAGACCAACACGAAGTGTGAGGTCAAAGGTCACCGTGTTTTCTGGGTACTTGTGGTCTGTTGTCAGAAGCCAACAACTCTGTAAACACTTACTCGCTGCCTTGTGCTTCCCTCACTCTGCTCCCTGATTCCACTCAGGTACCTGAATCTACACAAAGGAAAGACTCACTGCCGTCTATTAGCACTCGTCATTGGCATCAATTCATTTACCTCGGCTGTTAGTCGCTGGTGTCCACAGTCGTTGATCATGTCGGCTCTAGTGAGTCTTCATCTGTGTTGGTCGGAGAGACTAGACGCTGCTGCCTTTAAAAAGCTCGATAACGCCTCTATTGAAACAGACAAGCTGTGTAATTGTGTCTGGACCAATCAGTGCCGACTGTTTTGTGTCTCTCAGTTACATGTGAGGCAGAGCAGCGTCTGGTGTTTTTAACTCTGGAATCTGTGATTATTTACCGACGTTATGATTTAGAAATACAAGTAGCTAAGAAAAGATTTTTATCCTCCATGATCCCTTCAAGATTGAGATATTTTTTTATGTTGCCGTGACCTCGGCGCATGTATCATGTCCACTCTTTACACAAGCGTGAACCTTTAGAAATAATCGGGATAAAAAATACACTGAGCCCTCGGTTCTGACTGACTTCTGGGTAACGATCAAGTCACACAAGAGACCCGGCGGACTGGTTTTCATTGAGGCATTCAAAGAATGAATACATAAGCGCAGACAGAGCTGCCAAGTCAGAATACTATTTGAACTTACTGTGTTAATTCTGGAGGTCCGTCCAATTCTATGAGAATAAAGTCCCGACCTCTGTGTCTCCAAGTATTGATTGTGATGACTGTAAGGCTTTAAGTCAGAACGATATCTGCTCAGCTCTCAGTAAACTTTTCTTTTTTCTTTTGCCACTGGCCGTTTGTTTTTAGATGACTACACAGTCTTTTCCTGCAAATACAAATGAAGTCTCTGTTCTCTCTTCGGCCTTTCACCACTGATGTTGGATGTGAACCGCACCAGTCGTAGATGTTAAACGGTTGTTGGTCTGAAGGCTTCTCCTGCTTGGAAGATGACTCATTAATTATTATTAGACTGCTGTACATATCCACTGAAGAAGGCAACAAGAAATGACCATATACTATTATTATATATATTATTATTATCATAAATAAGACTGAAATTCCTCTGCTGCGCTGGGCACAAGCGTAGCACAGGACCAGCCAAATTACATCCTGAGATCAGCAGAATACCAACATGTGGTTGTGACACTTGGAGCTGCTGCTTCCACTGCAGAGAGAACAGAGCCCCCGGAGGTTTGCTCTTCCTCGGTGGTGTGTTCAGAAACCAGTATTGTGCAGTTAAGTTCATTTGAGTAGCACAAAAATAATATGGCAAAAAAAAAAAAAATACCTGAGGCAGTGCGGTTTATTGTGGAGCTTCAGAAGCATCTAATAATGTCCCCGCCACCGCCACCGCCGCCGCCACCGCCGCCACCCGCAACATTGGAATATTGTCACTCTGTTAATATAGGATTATTGAATTTAGAAATGTACAACCCCCCCATTCAGCAAAAGTGCAAACGAGATTTAGAGAAAATGCAAATGAATAGTTTTGTTGTAGAAACATGAAGGTGACATGAGAAGAATAACTGTGACACAACGATTGTGCTTAACTGTGATTTCTGCTCAGTTGTGATCGCAGCACTTAGACGGCACAAGCCTCTTACGGCCAGAATCATTCACCAAATCACAGAGATTATCCCTCCCTGGCTTAAAAAGCTCTGTGAAAAATGAGTTTCAATGTGAGTTGAGGACGATGAACGACACTCACTCACCGGGCGCTTTATCAGGAACGCCACGCTGACACTGGGTACTTCCTCCCTCTGCTCTGAAAACGGCGTCAGTTCGTCGTGGCGTCGGTTCCACGAGCTGTCGGAAACTTTTCCTCGGAGACTCCCGTGTGCTCCACGTCGACGCGACTGCATCACGTCGTTCCTGCACAGATTTGTCACGCTGCACGTTCACGCCGCCAGTCTCCCGCTCTATACCTCATCCCAGAGGTGTTTCTACTGGATTGACATCTGGAGACTGTGGAGGCCGCCGAAGTGCACTGAGCCGCATGAATAAGCAGGTGTGCAGGTGTTCCTAATAAAGTGCGTGCCGAGTGTGTGTCCTTGCTGTTACCCTAGTTAGCTTCGCAGCAAATGCACCAAGCCCGTTTGGGTTTGCTAAAAGGCTTTATAAAGCACAGAGGGAATAGCAGCCGCATCAGATTGCTCAGCTCAAATCTGGCATCATGTTCACGACCAGAGACGCATTTAGTATTCTGAGAGTAGCTCAGAACCAGAGGAGTGACAGAATGATGGCTGCAGCTCCCAGAGCAGTGTGCGCCAGGGAATCATGAACCGTGTGAATGTGCACGCATGTGTCTGTTTTCTTGTGTAGGTGTGTGTGTGTGTGTGTATTGTATGTGTATTGTGTGTTTGTGGAGACACTGAGGCGGTTTAGAGGAGGCAGGGTTCAATGTGACAGACACATTTCTCTTAACAGTCTCAAGACAGTAAGATTTTTCTCCCCTGTCATCTCTTCTGCTCCAATCTGTCACACACACACACACACACACACACACACACACACAAACACACGCACACACACACTCAACACATTAAACTTCACAATTTTCATACGTTTCGTTGATCTCACTTTGGACTTAAGTGAAATATCAGCTCATGAGTAGTTGATCTGATATCGTATCATATCTTGCTTCCTGCCCACGTGTCCTGGTTTATCCATCACCTGAGAGTGTGTATGTGCGCGCACACACATACTGTGCGCGCACATGCATCATTTGCTCTTGCAGCTTGAGCCCATGGCTATTTCCTCCTCTTTACACATTAGCGTGTGCTCGTCTTCCTGCCTCTGACTGTGTGATCCTGTGGCCAGTGTTAAGTGTAAGTGAAGCTGCTGCAGCTTGCACTGCGTAATTAGTTAGCTTCCCAGATCTGAGCTGGTCTTAGGGGAGAGCCTCTTTTCATAATTTCTAAAGCTTGCAGATTTCTAATAACCCCCCCCCCCCCCCCCCCCCCAATCTGGTGGGAATCTGTCACTCTTCACTCTCTGTCTCTTTCAGTCTTGTTTATAAAGCCCGACCTTTCACTTGCTTGCCTTTTTCTGTTTCTCCCTCTGTTCCTTTGCTTCCTCTCTCTCTCTTTCTTTTGCTCTCCAAACAGCTCTCGCCCCAACAACTCCACTTCATTCACCTCTGTTTCCCCCTTTTGCACTTTTCAATTACAGTGTTGGAACCATTTCTTTATTCTGCCCTTTCCTTCACCTGGCTGTTCCTCAGAATACCATCCTCGAGAGTCACTGGATGGGAACTGTTGCCAAATAAAAACAGCTATAACTTTGAGTGCAACACTCACTTGTTGTGTAAGAGGATGAATTTTTCTGTTTCTACCAACCACATACAGTCAGTTGCTGTAATCGGTTTTTATCTTATCGGTTCGGTGCAGCCATGTTGGTGTCAAATCAAAAACGGCTCTTATCAGGGAAATGTGAGTGAGCACACACACACACACACACACACACACACACACACACACCCTGAGAATCCAGCTGAGTGATTTTCACAACCCTGAAGTATAGATGTAGACATTAAACATTCTGTTTGAAACCACTGTAACACCATCAATTTTAATCCCTACCTGTGCACTCGAACTTAAAAACCCCCCCACACCAGTCCAGACCCAAAGAGTCTCTCTCCCCCGCAGCTCAGTCGCTCGCTCTGCCATTGAAATTAAAAACAAAAAGGAAAATAACGATGAACTGGTGACAGTACTGAAACGATAATTGTGCTGGTGCGGCTCACAACATTATTGTTTTTGAAGTGATGCAAAAAGATTCTTGGCAGATGCTCGTGGCCTTCATGTTTTTTTTATTATTAATTTGTGCTATTTTTGTGTCGAGCAGATTGAGTTCTGTGTTCGACGCCGTCTGGAACATGTGGCCGTCACTCACAGCTCAGATCTTCGGGATGGATGTGAAGATCAAACCTTTAGTGAGTCTTTGAACCTCTGGCTCATGCAGCCGAACAGATCGGCGGCAGCTCTGTGCTGGCACTTGGCGACTCTTTGTGAACGAGCGTGAACAGGGATCCGTGTTTTCGGAGCCTGAGGCTGCTCGCCGCCGCCACCGCCACCGCCGGAGACGCTCTGCGACCTTTTACCTTTCGTAAACTTTTCTCTTGATTGTGAATATTCTCTACAAGATTTTCTTTATGCTGCTTACGCTCACTGATCCTCATTAGCTAAAGTACACAGTCACGTCTACAGTACAGCTCCATTTGCTGCTCCACAGCCTTCGTACACATTTTACCTGCTGTACGCCGTTGACAGCTGAAATAAATAGTTTTCATTTCTGCGGTAGAAGAGGTTCCTGTCTTGCTTACTTATTTAGCACTCTGCAAATCCCAGGTGTGTGTGTGTGAGTCTCCCTCTGCTCCCTCCTGTATGCTGTAACCACAAACAAAGATTTACTTTCTCAGCTCACCTACACATGTTGTTTTTTTAAGTGACTCTTAAGATAAAAAATGTATTTTCTATAGTTTTCAGATTTCAACAAAAAAAAAAAGGCCTTAAGCATCTTTTCTCTCTTCAGACATTTTACTTTTGTTTTTATTTTTCTAATTCTTGGTTTTGTCCTCTCTTTCTCCTCCTTCTTTCATCCTCCTCTCTCCTGCCCTGTCTCCCCTCTCCTTTTTCTACTCAACAAAATAAAAGTCTCTCTCTTGTTCTGTTGGTGCAGATCCAGAGCAGCGTCCTGCAGCCGCCGCCCACAGAGCAGCGCGAGCAGAGAGTGAGGGATATGATGGAGGCCCTCGGCCCACAGACACCAGCCGTGAGCTGCAGCCCCAGTCTGCCCAGCAACATCCTGTATCCCTCGCATGAAAGTGAAACACACTCATAAACACCCCTGAACTATATAAAACACACGCTGACACACTGCATTTAATGTGCAGGAGCCACATGCACTCTCGCCTATATACGAACTGCAGCTCGCACCCTTGCAAAAACCTCAAACATGCAAGTCTGAGGAGCGTCGTAAAAGCAGCAACACCTACACCTACACCTACACGTGCACACACACACGCACACACACACACCAACACACACACGCAAACACACACACTTTGAGCACACCGTGAACGATAACCATACTGTACCTCAGTGTCAGCATCTTTATTGATTTTTCTCTGGCAATTTATTGAATGTCTGTGTTGTGCTGTTCAGTTAATCTCTTTAAAGGGTGTCGTACAACAGAGTCATTACTGTATTTCAGTCAGTCAGTACTTAAAGGCTCTCTACATCTGTCACGCTGATAGACTCTCTCTCTCTTTCACACAAACATTCTTCCTTTCATCCACCCACACACGCTCGTATACCCTGTGTATGTCGGCTCAGTCTGATATTAGCTCTGTTGCCTGCTATTATATGAAAACAATATTGTCACATCACGTTGATCGCTGACAGAAACACCGGGAACAAAGTGGAGCACGCGCCGACTGCAACTGAACCGGTGAAGTACAAAACATACACACACTTAGGTTCATTAACACTATGTAAACTGTACACTCAAGTGAAACCGCTAAGATTGTTCGCGCGCACACACACACACACACAAACACACACACACACACACACACACACACACACACACACCTTACTCTCTCACCTTGCTGTCTTGCTCCTTAACTCTTGTCTGCAGGCATGTTGGAGACGTGTCCATCTGTCTGTCCGACTTTACGCTGAGAGCAGGCTGATGTCTCCCCGTTAACTGATTCATGCGGTTTAGAAATTATTACTCTGTTAGTTCCACGGTTCTTTTCATTGTTCATTAATTGTTAATTGCTAATTGCTCTTCTCGTAAAAGCAGCACATGCTCCTGTCTAGATTGTAGTGTCACAGTGAAAGAGTTTACAGCTTGTACTTGTTCTTTGAGAGTTAAGCTTAATTAATAACATTTGTGCCTTTGATACAGGACAACTTAATTGCTCATGATATGATACCGTTACGTGCGCTGGGTGTCTCTGCTGTTTCCTGGAGCACCTAACGGACTCATACGTCCTCATTTGGAGATTTTTGTGCTCATAAAAATTTGACTTCTTTTTGAATTTTACAGCTTTTGCAGGGTCAAGGTGAAACCGTAGTCATTTATTATTGGGACAGCCAAGTCATTTTCGTGGATTCTGTTAAGTGGCTTTTTCTATCAGATTAAAAACCCATTGTAAAATTAAAATACTGCTTGTGCTGCTTGTTTTTCTGTGAACCCCGTGGGTCCTTGGAGTTGCGAAACAGAAATGAAAGAGACACATTCGACTTTATAGTGGCACAAAACGCTCTTCATGACACTCATGAAAATGAAGAAAGAGAAATAATGGACTTGGTCATTGCACTGGTTATCTCCAGCCCACACCCCAACCCCAAGCCCCAGCTCTCCTCTCTGTAGCCCGGGGAGGAGGTTTTGTCACAGTGAGGCTTGTGCTTGTAGAAAACCAGGGAAGGCTTCACAACGTTATGGGTTTGTTAAGTTTTGTGTGAGAGTGGATCCTCACAGGCCTTTAGTGTGTTTGACTGACTGGGATGTGGACGTGGCCTTGCTGCTGTTTCTGATGTGCTTTGCAAAAGTCTGCAGAATGGCATGATTAACTTTCCACTGAAGTAAAGTATTTATGTCTGAGGTCAGGTGGGCATCTCATGTTCACTGAATTCAAAGTAGTTGCTCCCTCTTTAGATAGATAGATAGATAGATACTTATTTATCACCTAGGTGAAATTCAAAAATAAATAAATAAACAATACTTAATAATAATTAATAATGGTTAGTGTGTGTGTGTGTGTGTATATTATATATATATAAAAAAAAAAATTAATCCAGTTCATGAGCCACTTTCCTTTGGCTTTTTTTTCTTTTCCTTTGGGTCTGTTGCAGACACAGTAAAACAAATCCTAATTGAACTTTAATTATAAATCTATAAATATAATGATCTATAAATAACTCCTCGCGTGAGCGTGTTTCCATTCTGACTATTTTAGTGAAAATATTTTTCGTTCGAAAATTGTGGCAGGAAAGAAGTAGGCGTCATCATCTCAGAGGAAGCACAGAGAGAGAAACGAAACGCGGCCTGCCCCGTGCCCTGGCGGTGTCTCTCTCTAAATCGTCCGTGCGGAAACCACATCCTCCTCCGTGTTTAGCGCCCGCTCGCTGTCATTCGTCCAAGGCGAGCCAGCCGGTGCGATCGTGGCGCTGGCGGAGTGGAGCAGCGAGAGCCGCATGTAAATGAACACCTCCACCTCCGTGTTGTTGTCACCTGAGGATCCAGAGGGGCACATCGACTCGTCCCGTCCCCCCGTCATCGGCGAGCCGACCTGTAACGTTTACCGTGGAGATAAATAAAAAAAGAAAGAAAGAAAGAAAGAAAGATTAAACTGCACTACTTTGGAGCAAACGCTGACCGCTAATCGCCGCCGTGTGTCGCCGCCGTTTTCTCGCTACAGTAACACGGTGAGTGATCCGGGAGTTTTGTGGCTGTGATGTCCGGCGCTCTGTCGGTCGGATGTGCTGTGCTTTGGCCGCTGGATGAGGGATCCGGCGGGGGGGCTTACAGCTGCGGTGACAGGCGGGGATCTGTTTGTTGGGGAGCGACTTCTAATACTTGCTTAATTCCCCCCGAAAAGCGCACCCCGCGAAGAAACCTTACATTAATCATTGTGATATACTGCGGAGTTGATGTGTATCGCCACCAGATGTGATCTCGCTCCACAGTTTAAGAATAAACGCAGAATTGCGGGCTTAAAAATTGAGGAAAATTAACTCCTGGTTGCCCGCAGACACAGTCGCGCGGCAGAAGGGAACGCGGGTCAGGTAGGGGACACGTACTCAATTAAGCAATCAGTAATTGATGATTCACATGACAGTCTTTACCCAGACTCAGCCATCATCATCACCATTACGCATGTCCGCGGCTCTGCCTCTGCATGAATGATGATAGAGGGAGAGCCTCGCAGATGCGAGCGGGGGGAGAGAGAGAGAAAGAGGGGGGGAGGGAGGGAGGGAGATGATGTGTCAGTCCTTGAACCTCAAACCTCCCACAGCAGGCAGGCAGCCTGAGGGGGATCTGGATCCTCCTCTGCTGCACATCCAGCCGTCTGACAGGCATCTTTCTTCTTCCATCCTCTCTGGAGTTGCTTTCACCACGAGGGTCAGTTTCTTCTCCGTGACGTTAATGTCACAGAGTTGGTTGCTTGGCAGTTTGGACTGTTTCCTACTCTTGATTGCAGATTATGGTTTTGTTTGTGTATGTCTTTTATTGTGTTGCCTGTCCCTGCGGAGCACACAGAGAAATATTCCGTTTTTTGCATCGCACTGCACCGTGGAGTCAATGGGCTGCGTGTTTTCACACCGCGCACAGTGGAGTTATCTTCACAGGTCCGCAGTGTGATTAGATGTGGGGGCCAGTTTATCTGACAAAAGCTGGGACCTGGATCTCCCACACAGGAAATCAAACTTCAGCCTCGCTGCCACAGGAGATTGTTGTTGGCTGAGAGGAAAATCTCCTCCAGCCAAGAGATTTATGTGGGTTTACACGACTACAGCAAGAACCACTCTGCCTTCAGACCCCCGAACACCCCTCGGCTAACTTGTGCGCCCTCCCCCCCAGTGACAGACCAAATGTGGACCAATCGCCCCCCGGATATCTCCTCGCTGCTGTCCTGACCACAGGCACAAATCCTCTCAGACAGACGTCATGTCCGTGGTTTTTCCTGCTCATGGATCTTATTACTTCCTGAGCGGCAGCAGCTTCGGGGTTCAAGGGGACACTTGAGATGAATCATGTTTCTGGTGTGGTCAATGTTTAGCCACGTGTAATCTTTCCCACGACTTTGACTTTCTTTCATTAGTGTTGCCTGCTTTCAGTTAATGGATGCATTTAGACTCCCATTTCTCTGCTGCCCATGCCACATTAGAGATGATTGATTAACCCCCCTCCCTCCTCCTTTAATGTCCTTCTTACGCCACTTCTTAAACTCTCAGCACTTTGGCCTTCTACACAGAAACGTTATCCACTGCTTGGATATATGTGTTGACTGCATTAAATTGTGCCGGCGGCGATAACCTTTCTGCTCATAAATATCTGCCAGAGCTGCGTGGCCGCCTCGGAGGCACACAGGAGCATCAAATAACCCGATGAGCAGCCGCCACGGGAGAGACCAGCCCACCCCCCAACACCACCACCACCTCCTCCTTTTTTTCTCCCTTTGGCTGTTATCAAGAAATACTGAGGCTTTCGACCAGCACTTAAGGATATTTAGTGCAGCGTTTCTCAGAAAGCTGGGAAGCTTCCCAAAAGATGTTCCCAGAACGCACAAATTGGCCTTAATCGAACATTGTCTTCACTCAGCTGTCTACAGGAACACTTGTTTCTGCTGACTCTGTTTAAAGAAGAAGAAAAAAGTTACAGTCTTACAGTTTTATCTTTGAATAAGAGACTTCAATGACCACTGAGACCTCAAACTGAAGCTCAAAGTAGCTCCAACAGAGAGGGAGTTAAATCTCATTTTCTCTGTACGAACTTTCCGGTGGGTTGAGAGTAATGACTGGAGATCTGCTGTGAGATAAGAGCCTGTGGACAGTTGTCATGCTTCCACCAGGATGAGCTGCCTCAGTGTGAAGTGGAGGCTGGTTGGTGTCACTGTCATCACAGTGCGTGTTTAGGAGCGTCTGCTCCCCCCCCACCCCCACCCTTCTGATTTGAGTGAGATCCTTAAGGGGACAAATTAACATTCACACCCCCGAGACGTTTGCTCTGCTTTCCTAGTCCCTCGGTTTCAGGAATCGGCAGACACGCTTGTAAAGATTAATTCTGTCGGTCCCCGGTGCTCATTATCCCCTCGCGCAGCCCCTCGCGCAGCCCCTCTGCTCCCCGCGCTCCTGTCTGTTTTATCGCCGCGTCTCAGCAAAGGTAGATAAAATATTCACCAGGAAAGCTGTTGTTTCCTGCAGGGTCTCGCCTTCCAACTTCTCAACCCCCCCCCCTTCTCCTCTATCCTAAAGCCTGCTAATTTCTTGCCCCCCCACCCCATTGAAGCCCCTTACCCCTCTGCATCCCTCTGATTATATCATTGATGGAGCCCTTGCTAAATTATGCATGAATTATGTCTTGTAGCTTTTCATCAACATTGTCTCGTGCCTCCCTGGAGTTACTTCTGTTTTTCTGCTAATGTTTTCTTAAAAAAAAATTGGCTTTCATCAAATTTTCATTTGATGAGGATCTATTTTTAGTTGTTGTATTTATCCTCTCACTTTCATCCCCTCCCTTTTCAAATGTAGTAAGAAAAAGAAAAAAGCCCTCGGGAGGAGAAGGAAGTAGCAAGCGAATGAAGGCCACTCCTTTTTGGATGGAGAGACGGGGGGGGGGGGCAGAGGAGAGGAGGAGAGAGAGCAAAGAGCGACTCTGGTGCAGGGATTGTAAATGTTCCTCTGGGGAGTTTACAAGTGGCAGACATCAGATGACATCCTTTTTTTTTTTTAAAAGGAACAAAAGCAAATCCCTTATTTTCCCATGTTCCACAAGTATCACAAGAGGGGGGGAGAAAAATGGCCTTATGAATAAAAAAAAACTATTTCATTGAGAGTCTAGTTTTTCAGATGAAAATGAAATCTGTATCAAAAGAAAAAAGGTGTTCAGCGGTCCCTCGCCTGTAGCGTGCAATGATTTGAAATCACACAACTCTGCCAATATTTTTGACGTTTTTCACAATGTGATGTGCATCTCACGGCTTGTCATGTCTTTTCATGTTCAGACGAGCGCCTCTCTGCCGCCCCCTGCTGACCATGCTGCAGAGCGTGTGCGCCCTGGTCGTGGCACTCGCCGCTGCCGCCCTCAGCTCGGCGGACCCCGACGCGCACAGACCGAGGCATGACTCCAACCTGGAGATCTGTATCCTTCTGTGCTGCTGCCAAACGTCTGTGTGTGTGTGCGTGTGTGCGTGCAAGTCACTGAATGTGAACTAATGCATGCTCGTGAATACATTTCTGTGCATCTCAGTGTGACAGATGGGTGATGGAGTGAGCATTAATGTGACTTATGCCCATGTGCAGAGAGAGAGTGTGTGTGTGTGTTTCCTCCTGACCTCCTCTTGTCAGACAAGCGGCTGTTTGAGACCAAGAGGAAAGATCAGCTGAACGCGCTCAAGAACCTGGTGGAGCTGAACGACATCAACCAGCAGTACAAGATCATAGACATCATGCTCAAAGGACTCTTCAAGGTAGGGTGTGTGTGTGTGTGTGCGTGCTTTCTGACATTATATCCTCGCAGAGTCCGTGGGCAGCAGCAAAATCAAGCACAAGTATTAAAAAATAAATAAATAAATTAAAAAAAAAAAAAAAGTTATTTCTAAGAGCGCAACCATCTCGTGCTCTCAGCAGATCGAGGGATAAGAAGGTTCCCGGCTCAACAGAGAATCAAAGGCTTCAAATCCAATGATTACATTCATCAGCATGTTTCCTCGCATTCATTTGAATGTTAAATCAGACTCAGCCGCTCACAGTGCCATTCACTCCGCACGAGGCCCCGGGGGGGGGGGGGGGGGGGGCTCTGCTTTACGTTGCGCCTGCGTTTCCCAGAGGACAGTTATCTATGCATCCGCGCGCCTCTCAAGGACGACCAGCTTTTAGTCAACCTTCAGTGGCTGAAAAAGCATGGTCAGCATTTCTCCGCTTATTCTTATGTGTGTGTGCGCGAGGGGCTCCTGCCCACATCTCCTCCCCTTTACACCGCCGTCACACACACCGACTCGGATCTCGGTCCACGTCCGTGTTTGCGAAGATTGCGTGTAATTGTGTCCGTGGACGCAGTGATTCTGTTTTGACACAATTCACAGTCAAGACAGGTTTAATGTTGTGATGTAAGAACTCATAACGACCCACTGACTGCCCAGGCCGCTCCTGTTGCTCGCCCTGATGGAAGGCACTGCAACTTTAATTCACAGCACATATTGTAAAGAAACCTCTCTCTCTCTCTCTCTCTCTCTCTCTCTCTCATTCTTAAGGTGTTGGAGGACTCCAGACAAATCCTGGTTGCAGCCAACATGCAGCCTGACGACCCCTTCCCCATGGACGATAAGATCAAAGAAGGTCTGATTCATTCTCAGCTGTTTCATCATTTCATTTTGTTTCAGTGTCTCTCTCTCCCTCTCTCTCTCTGTGTCTCTGTCTCCTGCTCTACTTTATATAAGTCACTTTATTTAGCAGCGTCTCTCACACTCCGGTTCTGTCTCCTCCACCTCTGACTGCTTTGTCTTGTGTCTTGCCTCTAAAAGCTGCACCACCTCTGTCAGTCTCTCTCTTCCTCCTTTTTGATGCCATCGGCTGCCAATAATATCAACGCTCTCTCTCTCTCTCTCTCAACATCTGTCTGAATGGCGTGCACATTAGCTTCCCTTCCTTTTTAAGGCTTATTCAGCAACACGACGACACCAGCCTCCACCTCCCGAGCAAAATCAACCACCGCTTGAGCTGCACTCGTAATAAAAATTGTCCTCCTCTGTCTCATCTCTTCTAATGAACCTTCTCTTTATAAACTTCTGCAGCTTATTCCCACGTGGTGGAGAATACGGCGTTTTTCGGCGACGTGGCGCTGCGATTCCCCCGCATTGTCCACCACTACTACGACCGGAACGCCGACTGGGGCGGTCTGCTGCGCTGGGGGCTGAACTTCTGTAACCTGACGGGGGTTTTTACCGGAGGAGCCCACCAACATGTCCTCACACTTGTAAGACCAGACACTGACCCACACCCGTCCTAACCGTAACAAAACGCCACCTTTTCGTCAACAGTGTTGTCACAATCCACTCACGCCTTCTCCTGCAGTATAAGGTTTTTAAAAAAAGACGACTCCAGCTTTGAATGCCGACTGTAAAAGCTCATGCTTCTGACTGGATTCTGAATTTACAAAAATATTTTGTGAGATCTCCAATTCTGCAGAGCTGAACAGACAGAACAAGGGTTTTTTTTTTTGTTTTTTTTTGCCAAGATAAAGCTGCAGAAAACACAGACTCAGACCACATTAAAGAGCTGATGCGGTTTCAGACTAAAAGCAAAGGCCTTGAAAGTATGAAAATAAATGAGTAATCCTTTCAACTTGTGCCTGTATGTGAGATTTGCTTGGGTTTTTTTTTTTTAATATTAATGACTGATTCACTTTAGTTTCTTTTTTGCAATTTTCCGTAAATTTGAAACCGGAGCGAAATGTTGGACATGATGATGCATCAGATCTTTGCTGAGGGAAATGAGTCGAACCGAAACATTGTTGGATTAAATAGTTCTAGCTCCGTTGTGAGGACTAGAATTCAAAAGTGCGGAATTCAATATAAGTGCAAATGAATACTTTTCTCTGCAGGGGGGGGGGCACACTATGAGTGTGGAAAACACTGCAGTAAAACAATGCAGTGTAATACACATGCATAGCATAGCGCAGGGTGAGGTAAATGTGACAGGTGTGTGGAAATGAAAGAACAAACATAGTTCAGGTTTTAGAGGAGATGCTTGATCTTCTGTCACCGTCCTCAGTGGCAGCAGATAACTTCTCTTTCATCACTGCAGAACGTGTCATTTGACATCGGATGCATGCGAGATGTTTTGTCACCTTAGAACCTTAAAAGAGCGAAGCAGATAAAACAGTGCTCCCTGATTAATGTGCGGGTTAATGAACTAAACTCTTGCAGGATTAATCTGTGACCTTAGCAATGCGCCAAGAGGATTATATAGTGGATTAATTCTGAGACCAGAAGCACCCTCAAAGTGTGCACCCAGCCCTCACTTGTGCATCAGTAGCCCCACTCTTACCTTCTGTTCCCACCCTCTCGATTTCACATTGCGCAGAATGGAGAATTTTTTTTGCCAAATTGCAGCTTATTGCTTTTTAGCTGCAGAATAAGTGACGAAACGATGTCTCATTTTTATTCCTTATCTCTTCTTCTTTTCCTCTGTTACCCGTCTGTACCACTCCTCCCTCAGATGTCACAGGAGCTGGGAATAACAGAGAAATCCCCAGACTTTATAAACCCGTACCGCACCGAGAGGGATGATGTGAGTAAGATGCTTGTTGTTGTTGATGTCGTTGTTGTTTTTGTTGTTGTTGCCCACTCTGCCTTGTTCTGTATTATCATCACACACGTGCAGTAACAGTAGTGACCACTCTTAATGAATCCCCCATCAGCCATTAACTGCTGCTATTAAGTCTCACTGAGTCTCTGTAACTAAAACATAGCGCTCTCTTCAGAAACAATCCCTTATTTAAGAAAACATTATCACTCACATCGCTTTAATAGAAAATCTGTACCTCTCTGCCTTTCTAGGTCCTTCACACTGCAGAGGCTTTCCAAAAGATCCTGAGGGAGGAGGAGAAGAGGAGGAGGAAGGAGGAGAAGAGGAAAGAAATCCGGAAAGGCCCCCGCATCTCCCGCTCTCGCACCGAGCTATAGCGCCGCACCCTCAGCGCTTTGTGCAGAGCAGAGGAGAAGAGGAAGGAGCGTACGCACGGTCCACAAGGGGCGGCTTGACTTGTAGACTCAGATGACAGCGAAGGAAATCAAAAGCTGCCATCAGTTGTACGAAAGCCAGGTGCTCTGTTGAAAAGAAGAGAGGAACCCTCAATGTGATACAACAAAGTGAAAAGGAAGTGGAGGTTAGCTGACAAAAGCCTGAATCACTGCACTCAGTTACAGTGATTACAATTGGAAAATCTGTTGTTGTATAAGAGGTTAAATATGTCTCTGGAATAGGAGTTGATAAGGGAAACTCACTTTTGATAACTTGAGGATTACATAATTGTACTTTGGAATATAAGTAATTTCAATAAATTTGCTTCAGAACTTTGCAAAACCCTCCTGTATCGTGTCTGGTCTAGATTTAATGTGTCTAAAGCCCAAATGCTTCAAATACGTGTGGTTGCCAAATATAAATTTGACCTCACCTCATTAAAATCCGGCCTGTTTCTGGTTAGGCTAAGCTTGATTTAGAGTAGTAGAGTTTTATTTCATTCTCTTTATTTTTTATTTCTTATTCTTTCTCCTTGAACTGGGATTTGTTAGAGAGATGTTTGTGAATAGGCAGATTTATGTTCTTGTTGCTCCTCCAAGTTGTAAGGAAACCTCTTATATTTTGTTAGTACATTACCGTTACCACTTATTTTCCCCGCCCTCTGATGGGGGAAGTGTATTTTCTTTTTTCTTTTTTCTTTTTTTTTTTTTTACATATTTGGCACCTATTTTTGGTTCCATTAGTCATTCTCTTTAGACCCGTGTCTGTTGTAGTTTCACTTTAATGATCCCTAGTTAATAAGAATTATTAAGTCCTTTTGAAAAGATCTGTAAACCAGACAGTACAGTATGTGACTCCTCATCTTGCAGCCCCCCTACCTGTTTCTTTATTAAACAATTTGCCTTTTTTTTTTGTCATTTTCTTTTAATCCTTGTTGGAAATTGAAATTGAATTGAAATCGATGTAATTTTAAAATAGTATTACGACTGTTATAAAACTATATGTATATTCAGAGAAATAATATCATTGCTGCAGAATGAACAAGCCATTTTGTTATCAGATTTAATGAAATAAAAAGTTACTCTGATATGTACAATAACCCGTGTCTCCTCTCTCTCTTCTGTGTGTGTGTGTGTGTGTGTGTGGTTGTGTGGTGTGTGTGTGTGTGTGTGTGTGTGTGTGTTGTGTGTGTGTGTGTGTGTGGTTGTGTGTGTGTGTGTGTGTGTGTCAGAGCAGCCGACAGAGGGCAGGCCGCCACCAAAACACACTTTGTACCTAAAGTCCAATGTTTTGTTTTGTGTGAACCGACTCTGAGCTGAATTGAACATGTAGCTGCAGCTACTTTCACAAGATGATACCGGAAGTCTGAACGCAGAGAAGAGACGACACACTTTAGTAAAAACTATAAGAACACGTCTGGCAACATGGATTCCGGTAAGATAAAGTCTTCACGTCTTGACAGTTAACTGTTTTCGTCTTAAGTTAGCAACTTGCTAAAGCTAGCTTGCTAATAGGAAATTAGCTGTCGAGAGTCTATATAATATAAACTGTTATGCTAACTGTAGCTAATAGATGGTAGGGTTGTATTGAGGATTAAAACTTGATCTCTGTATTTGATGTCTGATCTCCAGGGATCTTTCAGGGTTGGTTATCATTGGGTCGTACTTGAGGTATAAATAGCATCTAAACACTCAGTGCGCAGCGCTAGCTATTTCTTCTTTTCACTTGCCTGTAGCTAACCAGCTATTCAGCTGTGATGTTTTGTCTCTGTGCAGAAGCTTCCTGACAAACACTGACTTGACTAGGCTTGTTGAATATGACACAAAACGTTTATTGTCTTCATTAGCAATGAATAATAACAATAAATAATAATACGTTTTATCTATAGGCGCCTTTCAAGGCACTCCAGGACACCTTACACCGCACAGTAAAAGATATAAAGCTAGTTCAAGGCATAAAATACAAAATAATCAAACACAAGACCATAAATACAGAATAAATTGGAATAAATGTAACTACATAAAAATAAATATGAAGTAAGTGCTGGTGCTGTGTAAAACAGGAAGAGAATTAATATCACGGATGTCCTGTGGAAGAAAGCGCCAGAGTGCAATGAAGACAATAACAGGCTCAGTTGCTGTCTTTAAATAGTGAAGTTTACATGTATGTAATCGCAGCTAACCTATGGCAATCAAATCTCTAAAGTCTCAAGAAGTTACAGAGAGTTTCTGTTGTGCAGTTTTTCCATCAGGGGATGAAGCAGAGAAGAAGGATCCAGTTGATGTCGAGGGTGAGAAGGAAGGCGATGACCCTGAAACCAGATGGAGTGAGGAAGTCAGGCTGGTCCTCGTCGGAAAGACCGGAAGTGGCAAGAGTGCATCTGGAAACACCATCTTGGGCCGGAGGCAGTTCCTGTCACAGATCAGTGCGAGCTCCGTCACGCAGATTTGTGAACTCGGGAGCAGCGTGCTTGCTGAGGAAGACGTTGCCGGGGACGATGGCCAGGCTGTCACACAGAGGAGGATGAAGAGAGTCACGGTGGTTGACATGCCAGGTTTTGGGGACACTCACCTCAGTGTGGAGCAGATTCATGCAGAGATAGCCAAGTGTGTGTCTCTCTCTGCCCCTGGCCCGCATGCTTTCCTCCTGGTGGTGCCAATAGGACGATATACAGACGATGAGAACCAGGCTGTGTGTGAGATGGCAAAGATATTTGGGGAGGATGCAGTCTGTCACCACACATTGGTTCTTTTTACCAGAGGTGATGACCTGGAGGGTGTAGGGATTGAAGAGTACCTGAGGAAGACTGCACCTGCTGGGCTTAAGGCTCTGATTGACAGGTGTGGGGGCAGGTACCATGTTCTCAACAACAGAGACCCCAGCAACTCAGCTCAAGTTGAAGAACTCTTGATTAAGGTGGAGAAGATGGTGAAGCAGGCTAACAGGGGGTTTTATACTAGTACCATGTTTTTAGAGGCCGAGGCTGCTATCAGGGAGGAGCAGAAAAGGATGTTGAAGGAGCGAGGGGAGGCAGAGGGGGAAGAACAAGGGGGAAATAATGGCAACACGGAGGAACAGGTTATACTCGCAAAACGAAGAAAGTGTGACCTAGAGTCAGACGGACAAGGAAGCAGTGATAGAGGATCAGAGGGGCTCGGCAGGAGGGAGCTGGAGAGAGGAAATGAAGAGGATTTTAGGGTGGAGAGATGGACAGAGGAGAGCAGAGCCAATGCTTTCAGCTTCCTTAGGAACAGAGCTGAACAAGGCAGGCATAAGGGCAGCAGCAGGGCTGTCAGCAGGCGGCAGTCTCTCCGTTCGTCCCTGATTCGCATGAGAAAGGAGGCTGCACTCTCTGCTAAGGTGCTGGAGAGAATTAAGATCTTGGTAGCCGCTGGAACCACAGGCATGGCGGTCGGGGCAGTGTTCGGGGCGGCTGCTCCTTTCGCAGCTGCAGCTGGGGCTTCTCTTATGGGAAACTCAGTTGGTTTTGCTGCAGGTCATCTAGCTGGGATGTCGGTAGCGGGAGGAACAGGCGTTGGGAAAGCCGTGGGGGCCATAGTGGCGGCAGCTTCAGGGAAAACTGCAGTGGCCCTGGGAGCAGCGACAGGTGGTGTTATGGGTGGTTCTGTGGGAGCCATTGTTGGAGCTGGGAGCGCCACTCCCAGGGAGGGTGCTCTGGATGCCCTTGGGCAGGTTAGCGTCATAGGGGCGTCTGCTGTTGGGCTGGCAACAGGAGTGGGGGGGGCCTTGGGAGCTGGTGCTGCTTTGGGCGCAGCTCTGGAGGGAGCAGCTTTCAGCACAGCAGCCCTCAGCGGAGCTGAAACAGCAGCAGCAGGTGTAGCCAATGTTTCTGTCGCTCAAGGTGGTTTAGCTTCAGCAGCAGGACAGCATGCGGTGGCCACTGTCGCTGCAAGTAGTGGGACCCCTCAGTGTGCTGCAGCAGGGGCAGCCTTAACTCAGGAGCTGGCTGCAAATGTCCCAGTGGCAGCTGGGTCTGCTGGTGCCGTATGTGGGCTGACAGGGCCGAGCGTGGCAGCAGTGACCAGCAGGGTGGTGTCAGATCCTTGGGGCACTGTGGCGGCAACAACTCGCATTCTGTCCGCAGTGGCTGAGATAGGAAAGGCGGCCGCAGGCATTGCCCTGGCTGGTGGTCTGGTAGTGAAGGTGGTAAAGGAAAAAGTCAGATGTGGCACAGCAACAACAGAAACAAGTTACTCAGAGAAGAAGTCTTATGAGATCTACTGGAACAAATGAACACAGGCTGGGAAGGGAGTTGTAATCCAGTGAATGAGATCATATTCACACCTTCTCCTGCCTCCCTGATGAAATCCTTCACTCCACAGTAGCTTCCCTCAGTGAGAGATATTGCTATTACCATGTGAATGTAAACCACTTCAAACGGGCAGAGACAGTAGCTGGAGCAATGTAATATAAAATAATATGAAATATAGGATCAAGAAATCACACATTCTTATAGATAAAAGAAAGCAGAAATTCTTCTTGCACTGTTGGAGGCTGGTGACTGAGTTCAGTGACATTTGCGGTGCTGCGTGGGATGACTAATAAAGGATATAAGGTACACAGTCTTGTGATACCTTTGCTTTATTTCTTTTTTCCAAGCACATTTGTATCTAAATCGATAAATCGGTTGTGACTCATCTTCCAGCTGGTTGGTTTTGAACCTAAAATCTCCAAATACATTTTTATAAGATAAAGAAAAGAAAAGAGACAAAATAAGAGACTCTATAAAGCACAGATTAATGTATGAATGTAATTAATCTTACTTTAAACAGTAATGGGTGTTGAAAATGAACAAAAGGACTAAAGAGGTAAAAAGTATTTTAAATCCTAAAGGGTGACAGCGGATGGCTTTATTGCAATGTTTCACATCTTGTAATATGTAAACCAGAAGAGTTTTGCATTTATGTATTAACACTGTTTGATCAACAGGATCAACAGGTGTAAATGTATTTCACTAGTGTGTTCACTTTTGTTGCAGTGAAATGAACAATAAAGACAGTATTCTTCCATGACTGAGCATTTTGACCTCCTTTCTTGTCCTGTGTTGTTGTTCTTCTTCTTTCTTTCAGTGCACCAACTGCCTCAACTGTCTTATCATAGCTTTTGTACATTTAGGTGTTTTGGCTTTAATGTAGTTTGTCAGACTTTTAAATCCAATATATTGCAGATCTGATAACTGGATTAAGTACACAGTACACATTAATAATTCAACTGTATTTACATTTCTTGTATTTCTATCTGTATTTATTTAAAAAAAAAAAAAAAAAGTATGTATATTTACTTTATTAAAAACATGACTTTTTATGGTGCATGTTGTTACTATGCCATGTTCACATAAGAGACTTGATAACTTTTAAGTATACTTTTTATAAGCATGAAAGTGGTGAAAATTAGGGTTATATAATAGTAGGTTAACATTTATAATAATGTCAAGCACATTGAATAATATCAAGAAAATGCAAAACATTTGAATAGACACGTCTTTAAACATTTAATTATTATTATTTATTTATTCTTACTTTTGTTTACTTCTTTGTTTACTGTCATTAGTATTTATAAGGTGCCTAATTTGCCTGGTGAGGTCAACTTCTTTTAATGAAGATAGGGGGCGCGGTTTATTCAAATGACACAGAAGCTTCTGATGGTTGACGTACTATCAGACCACGGCAAATACGACCTTGTCATTGGACGATGATGACTGGTCTCATGACAACAACAGCTAGCTTTGGGCCAATCGGTGCCCGCTTTGGGCCACAGAGTCTGTTTGTGAATGACGTAATAAACGTAAAACAAGATGGCGTCGTCTTAAGCATAAATCGTTGTGAATGAGTTTATCGACGTAAAAGTCTGCCTCTCTTGAGGCGCTGGTGTCGTTTCGCGGTTGTTCCGGGGGAATAACATAATCTTCACGGTCAGACAGGCGTGTTGTTGGCGCCGCTGGACGCCACAGAAGAGGCCGCGGACGTTGTTAATTTCCTCCTGCGACCCTCCGGTTACAGCCGGAGAGGCGAGCTGCGGACAGAAAGGATGGACACCGGGGAGTACATGGAGACCATGGACCCGACTTTAGCGGAATTAGGGGACGAATTCACCTTGGGAGACATCGACGGTGAGTAGTTGTGTCCCCGCTGACGGTGTCAAGTATCGCCGGTTCCTTAAATAAGTTAGCGTCGGCCTGTTTCCGCTCGGTCTGACAGCTCCGCGAGATGCTCACCCTACTGAGCGGAAGGTGCCGAGGCAGGTCTGTGTTTGAAACATGCGAAAGCTTTCAACACAAACTTTTTAGTAGCTTATTTAAAGTACATTTAAAGTTACACTTCCTGTTGTTTTAACACCATTTAGAATGACAGTCTTATTTACCTACTTACTGTGCAGTCATCACATTTATTTTTTGCTCATTTCAAATACACACATCATCACCTGGCCTTTTTTGTTGTTGTTGTTGCAAATTTTGACTTATGGAGTCCTCCATCATTTGTACACTGGGTATAACATCTTAGGCTTAAAGTTTTATTATGCTCTATGTTTATTTCAGTGCTGTGTTTCTCAAAAAAAGTCAAGTGAGTGGAGTGATATTTTCCATGAGGCGGAGGGGAGCATCAGTGAGAGGTGTCAGGAAGCTGTAAGAATGAAACTTGCTCACCAAACTTGAATGTGTAAGCCAAGTGCCATGAAAAGAAACCCCCTTCAAAACAACCGTGTGTTTAGTTTATTTGTTTTTATTTTAGTTTCATGTCAAGATTGAAGTTTTTATGTAGAGTTTTTTTTTGTTTAATGAAGAAACACGTCCCCATGTTCTTCAGCGTCCTTTTCTGAGCTCATTCAAGCAAAGTGTGTTGGACAACGTCTCTGTAAAGATCCAGCTCTGCACTCTGCAAGCTGGCACAGAGCATCCCCGATCAAATCTCCCTCTAATCAAAACAAGTTTCAGTCTTTGGCACACAGTGAAAGGACCGGGCTTTTGGTGTAACGCTCGCCAGCGCAGAGTCACCAGATTTCCATTAGGGTGGAATTTTACTGAATGCTAAGTCACCAGACCGGACTGATGGACTGCATATGTGTGTGTGTGTGTGTGTGTGTGTGTGTGGGGTTTTAGACAGTGTCGGATGAAACTGATTTTCAGGGCAAACTGCTGTAACGGATAATGGATTTAACTCACCAATACGCAGCAGCACAATAACAAGGCCACAGTATGTAACAAACAATAATGGCCAGCATTGATGAGACTGCACACAGGCTTATGAAACATTCCTGAAACTCTACCTGCCTTCGGTGTCTGGTGTTAATTCTCCCTTCAAAGGGGGCTTTTACACAGAATGAGCAGACAGCACCCCCCCAGCCACAGTTATGTAATCCCACTTAATCATTGTGTCAAAAGACAGGAATGTACAGATTGTGTGAGAGAGAGAGAAATGACAGCTGATGAATTCGCAGGAAAGCTGCAGCAAAGGCAGCCCACGCTCACATTTTGTTTTGACCTAGTCTCCGTTTGCCCCACAGCTAATTGATAATTACTATTTCCCCCATTAGACAGAGCAGCCAACTGCAGAAAAATGAACCTCAGTTACAGAAATCATGGGCACTGTCTCCTTAATAATTCAGAGGAGACCTTGTGGTTTAAACTTAAATGGGATCTCAGCTGACTGGTGATGGCTTTTATTTGTCTCTTTGTGCAGCAGCTGGTTAACCGTACAGCTCGAAAGATATTTAACCTTTGTTCTTCAGACGAGCCATGTGCATTTCCTGAGACGGTCAGGTCTTAGAGGCCCCTGTAAGGGCTCAAGCAGTTGACCCTATATTCATCTCCAGCATTCTCCCTCTCCCAATTATTCCCTTAGCAACTGTGGCACTGGTTATATAACCTATTTTCTTTGCTCTGAGCAGCCTAGGAAACTGTCCCCCTTTGATGGATTTACCCTTTGTGTCAGCTTGTCTGAAGCACTGGGGGCTCAGAGCTGCTTTGTCCTGTCTGCCATTAGCAGTCCACCCCCCATGGAGGTGTACAAGTGCATGGTCTTGTGTGTCTGTCTACATAATGTGTGCACGTATACGTGCCATGTGAGAGACAGGCTGGTAAAAGCTCCTGAACGGAAACTACAATTTGAGCTCCTAAAATTGTTTCCTGCTATTCTCTGCGTGCACGGTTTATTGTGCTGAGTTTGACCATCATAAGTCACAGTTATGTCCAGGTTTGAGGAAGTAACACCACTGTTAATGCACTGCAGTGAACAGACCTAGCATACACAGTCATAACTTACAGAACTTGTCCCCAGTTAACAATTATGTGACCCTTGTATTAACATTGTAGACACCAGAAACAGAAATATATGAGGTGGTATAGATAATACTTTTATTGCTTTAGACACTATATTGCAATATAATGAGGCGGTAATAAGCCTTTATCTTGCTGACATACATGAAAACCCTTGGTGTTGTAATGGTGCTCAGTTTTATGTGACTGCTGTCTTGACTTCTCAGCTTCATACACCTAGTCTAGCATCCTAGCCCTCTTTTAGTGTTGTGTTTATTGTAAAATCTGTCTTCATAACGGCTATAAAAAAAAAACTAAATAAAATGCATCCTGCAGCTTTGCACTACGCCAGAAACAAAGCTAAATTAAAGGAGCCAAGCCAATAAACCAAGAAGTGTGTATTTCATTGCATTTCATTTTACATTATTTCAGATTGATACAGTCTATATCAGACAAAGATAAGAGATAAAAAAGATTAAAGATGAGAGATAAAATAATTTTTTCATTCATGTTCCATGGTACTACGGTTGATATTGTGTAGAGGAATCAATATAAAATTGCATTAGAGTAAATCAGAATATTATCACTGGTCTCATGAGTCGGGATGTGCTTAGTGATTTCATGTCACTGAAAAAGTCAATACATGCGGTCTGTGGATTTGATTTTCTGGTCTCGCTCTGCCGTATTGTGAGACAGAGTTCAAGGCTGCAGCGTCTGCTTGTTGACACTTCACTGACCCTGACAGCTGAACGTCTCTCAGTGATATAGATTAATCTGGGCGGCTTTGACTACACCGAGCCTGTAAGGCAGTAAGTCAAAAGTCCTACGGTTCAAAGTCCCGGTCCGAGCTGGAAAATCTACGTAATATTATTGTGTGATATTTACACTGTAAATTTCATGATATTATGAATTTTATTTCTTACTCCACAGCAGCACAAACTTCACAGCTTCCAAAATGACAACAAAGCAAACACCTCTATAAAACACCTCGATCAAACTGTTCCAACAAAACAAAATTATAACCTTAATGAAGAGAGGATGTGTTACAGGGCTGTTGTATTAGACTGCTTCAGCTGGGTGCACCCTAATAAAACAAGTCAGTGTGTACTTGTTGTGCCGCCCAACATATGCAGCTTCACTTCTTCTAATGAGTCTTTAATAAGTAACACCAGTTTTTTTTATTGTTTCCTAACTGCTGCATGTTAGCAACAAATTACTGAATGCCGGTCGGTGGCATTTACCGTTCTGCACAGTCGTGTTTAATAACAGGGGCCGTGCACGTTCGTCATCATTACAATGCCATTCATACGTCCATAATCAGGTGTCTCAGAGCTGCCTCATTCTTTATCTGAGTGCTCTTTTACCCAGCTCTCATTGTCTTTAAGGGCCATCGGCAAGATTACTTTACTTTCTCAAGGTTATCTGTCTGAAGGCCGTTGGCTTCGTGTGTGATGGGCTCACTGGTTTATGACCAGAACAGTAGCTGTTTCTATTCTCACACATGTGCCACTTCAAGGTCAGGCCATGAAATACTCTGTGCTTCTTCCAGTCTTATCTGTTAGTGGCAAACAGCTTTCACATCTACAGTGGGGCAACTTTACCACCTTATATTTAGTTTCAGTTGATGAGATCTCTCTCAAGGTTATTTGAGGCACTTGAAAGCAACACATAGATTATGACCTGTTAGCCTAATGTTGGGTGTTAGGCAAGACCTTGACTGGAGAGCTTTCAAGTAATCGTCATCATCATCATCATCAGTCA